TCTAAATGAAAACTCAGTAGGCGACCCACTAAGCGTATAGCTCTTGCCTACTAACTACCTAACTTGGTTGTCATCTAGAACGACAATGGTAAAGGTTCAGACGACAGATTCCACTCGAAGAAAACGTGCAGGACCTCAGAACGACTGAAACACGGCACCACGTGCAAAGTGAGGTTGCTCAAAAGGCGCCAGAGCATGGATTACGGCTACGAGAACATAAACAACAGTTTGAAGAGTTTTCGTTTCTCCAATATGTGGAATGTAAATCGAAGCAGAATTGAGCATATTTCGGTTGTGAAGGCATTGTAGATCTAAATGAAAACTTAGTAGGCGACCCACTAAGCGTATAGCTCTTGCCTACTAACTACCTAACTTGGTTGTCATCTAGAACGACAATGGTAAAGGTTCAGACGACAGATTCCACTCGAAGAAAACGTGCAGGACCTCAGAACGACTGAAACACGGCACCACGTGCAAAGTGAGGTTGCTCAAATGGCGCCAGAGCATGGATTACGGCTAGGAGAACATAAATAACAGTTCGAAGAGTTGGTTAGTTGAATCAATAATTAGTGAATACTTCATGCTCAAACGGTACTCTGAAACATGTTTTGTAACACCTCGGCATTTATATTCGTTTCTCCAATATGTGAAATGTAAATGCAAGCACAATTGAGCATATCAATTGAAAAGGTTTAGACGACAGATTCCACTCGAAGAAAACGTGCAGGACCTCTGAGAGATCCACAAACCCGCCTCAGAAAGACTGAAACACGGCACCACGTGCAAAGTGGGGTTGCTCAAATGGCGCCAGAGCATGGATTACGGCTACGAGAACATAAATAACAGTTCGAAGAGTTGGTTAGTTGAATTAATAATCAGTGAATACTTCATGCTCAAACGGTACTCTGAAACATTTTTCGTAACACGTCGGCATTTATATTCGTTTCGCCAATATATGAAATGTAAATGCAAGACAGTCTAGATATATAGCCGTCATTGGTCCAATGAAATGAATGAATGAGAGATTTTCTCAATAATATCAAGCATTTCAGAAACATGCCTACAACATTGTGATGTACGAAATAACAATCATTGGACAGTTATCAGAAATGAAGTTATTCAATGATATCATATTTTTTTGCCGTTCAATTGAATAATTTTCGAATTTCTGAATGTTGATACATTTTTTTTTATCGCTTGGAGCGCACGAAAGGGAATCCCTATAATGTTCAAAGAACATCGTGCGTTCCTAGGGAGGATAGGGACAGGAGGTAGGTATTGGATTTTTTTTGAACTTTTGGAGATTATATGTTGTTGGGAATACTTCCACAGGCAATGAATTCCAGAGCCTAGCCGTTCTATGGATCAAGGAGTCCTGATAAAGTGCTGTTCGACATCTTTCGAGGTTGACAACGAAAGGATGTGCTGACTGGGCTTGTCTAGTTCGTCTAATTGGTATGGCTAGTGAAGGGATGATAGCAGAGATTTCCGAAGAACATTTCCCGTGGAAGTATCGATAGAAAAGTGAAAGGTCGCCGACCTTTCTACGGTGTTCCAATGATGTCAGAGAGTGAGTGAGTGTGGCGTCACCCACCAGGCGAATGGCTCTTCTCTGGATGGAATCTAAGCATCAGCGTATGTTTTGGTGCTGAACCCCATATGTGGGAACAGTATTCTAGAACAGGCCGTATCTGCGCTTTGTAGATCATGAGAAGCTGTTGAGGTGTAAAGTAGCTTTTCGCACGGAACAAGAATCCGAGTTTTTGTGAAGCAGCTTTTGCGATGGATCTGACATGATTATCCCATGAAAGAGTGTTGCTGATGGAAATACCGAGCATAGATATGGTGGGCTTGGTTGGGATGGTGGAGCCAGACATTACAATATCGGGCATCATTTATCTATATTATTATACTTCATGTTGATTGTTTGATTACTAAATTTTCTTCTTGAAAATGAGGAATGGGGTAGTTAGGAGGATATTAAAATACTGATTTAAAAAACAGTTCACTTGTATATTGATAAATAATTAAAGCTCTAAATTTTTACAATCTGGTTGGCTCATATAACAAAACTAAACATGAATAAAATATTTCGTTGGATAATCCGTACTCTAAAATATTCAATTTTATAATTCTCATTTAAGTACCTACCTGACTGAACTTGGATCTACAGGGTGAGCAGTTTCAACTTCCAGAATTACATTTTTATCTATGTAGTTCAATCATTTCCATCTTACGAGACTTAATAATTGATATGGAATAAAAATGAATGGCAGAAATGTTGGCTACATTGGTACAAAATATTAGGCTGAACCAACTCACCTTGTACCGATAACAAATGCACTGTTTTCAATGAAAAAATGATTCACAGTTTATGATGGCTCGACCAAGTTCAGAGTTTTAATGAGATAACTTATAAATTATATGAGATCAAACTTTCTGAGTTGAAAATAATCAGTCGTTGTGTTTGTTTAGTAATCTTTCAAGAAACTGATCAGTCTGATTTATCTTGTTACATAATGACTCAAAAAATTTAATCCGATGCAGATATTGATGAAGATGAACTTAAAAAATAAAACTACTCTTCCACTACGTTACAATAAGGCAGGCGTATGTATCATCCTTAAAGCACCTATAAAACTGGTTCGACTTTTTTTTTATAAAACTGTTCAGTCAATAAAGTTTGTAAAAATAAATATCAGAAATAATCTGAACTTACGCTTAAGTACAACAAATTTATGTTAGTGACATGTAAATCACATTATAGTGATAAAAACACTTATAAATATTAAAATTCTTATTGAACAAAGTGCAATTTGTAGACTGTACTTAAAAACTAAAATATACATACCACTGGTAATTTCTGAATAATATCCAAAAGAACAATCTGATAATTTTCAAATGTAATGTTTACTTAGGTATTTGTAGATTTTTAGAAAATATACCTACTGTATATATTTTAGTCTTTACACGTCATTAAAAGTGTTTAAAAAATCCCAGTTTTATATCTATAGACAAAATGGCATAAAAAATAGTTATATCACATTGCAAAATGTACCATTTTTATGATTGATAAGATTTTGATGTGATCATTATTCAACTATACTTCTTGAAGTACAAAGTACAGTCTTTTTACGACTTTGGACACAAAAAAATTCAAATTAGGACGAAGATCCGTGATTTAGTACTCCCCTTTTGAATTCTCCTTTTGTCAGCTTTTTCAACCATATACAGGGTGGGCCACCAGTAACGCCTCGGTCTCTAGAAGGCTAACCACTTATCTTCTTGGAATTCTTCCTCTCTAGGAAGTTGCATGTCAACATAGGCTACCATTTGAAATTATTTTGAAACATACAGGATGTTCCCAAAAATCACAAAACACTGAAGTTGAACTTTTTTCAATCGAACACCCTATATATTATTTCATTTTAAGATTCTCCCTGGTGAGCTGATTTCAACAATCCATCATACTTGGGGTCTAGCAGTTATAATTACTGAGATATAGGGTGTGAGAAATCGAGATTTTCCAAGTTCAAGAATTTTTTGTGTCTAAACCATTCATAATTGGTCAAACGGCTCACATGTCCCTATCTCAACTTTTGATCAACTATCTACTGACATTTAATTGAAACAAATACAGGGTGGTGCAGAATTCAGAATCTTGATCACCCGGTATATGTCCCAATTAAATATCAGTAGATAGTTAATCAAAAGTTAGGGACATGTAAGCCGTTTTGACCAATTATGAATAGTTTAGACACAAAAAATTCTTGAACTTGGAAAATCTCGATTTTTCACACCCTATATTTCAGTAATTATAACTGCTAGACCCCAAGTATGATGGGTCGTTGAAATCAGCTCATCAGGGAGAATCTCAAAATGAAATAATATATAGGGTGTTCGATAGAAAAAAGTTTAATTTCAGTGTGTTTTATGGTTTTTGGGGACACCCTGTATGTTTCGAAATAATTTTAAATGGTAGCCTATGTTGACATGCAACTTCCTAGAGAGGAAGAATTCCAAGAAGATAAGTGGTTAGCCTTCTAGAGACCGAGGCGTTACTGGTGGCCCACCCTGTATACAGAATATACATTTGCATTTGATTTATAATAAGATGAATACAGACTGGTCAAAATCTCCAGTTTATAGCTGCCATTAGCTACCATAAGATGAGCGTATAAAAATACAATAAATACAAAATATTGCAATATTATGTTCTGCCATTGAAGTTTGAAGAGATATGAGTAAAATGCAATGTATTAAAGCAGCAGATTTCCAGAAATATAATTGATGATTTCAAACTATTAGTAGATGCATGAAAATCGGATTTTGTTGGAATTTAAAAAAAAATATCTCAGAAAGAATTTGCATACGCTGCTGCATGAAAATCGGATTTTGTTGGAATTTAAAAAAAAAAATATGTCGCAGAAAGAATTTGCATACGCTGCTCTGGTGTAGGAAGTCCCGAAATTATTAGAGAGTTGAAACAACAACACTGCACGTATGAATGATAACGTTTATGTATTGTCTTTAAATTGAGTTGAAGTCATCACTGTCATCGTAACGTAATAATAAATTATTTCTCATTGTTTAGATCTGAATATTCATTCGTGTTAAAATGAGACGACTCCTTGATGCAGAACTCCTTGGTCCTTGATCCCGAAATCGATAATTTCGACTCATTGGCATATTTCGAGTATATTTTGGTTAACGTATGTTGATATTTAAGATATACGTAAAAGTACGTGAGATAACGTACACAACGTGAAGAATTGGAAAATGCGCATTAATATCTGTCAATGGACGATTTAATTATTTAGAATGAGTTTTAAATCCCACGAGATCCCTGTTGAAACTTTTCCACTTTGAATACCCACATTTACAAAACTGGCCGAATTTGAATATTAATATTCTGTCTGTTGTCATGAAAAATAATGCGTTATTTCTCATGCATATTTTTAACAGCAAAGATCACATCAAAATCCCATATAAGTACGTCCTTAATTACTTTTATCATTAAGCAAGTGATCGGCTTCTCCTTTCTTCTGCAAATTACCCGACAAAGTGTGATCACTGGGACGGTTCCTCTTGAAGAAGCCGCACTTGCACAAAATTATTATAAGTACTATCAGTAGGAGTAGGCCGGCTAAAACAGCTCCACCTATGATCACCCAATTCAACTCTGAATCGGTGGATACTATTTCTGGGTAAGCAATAGTCTGCGCCTGAAAGAAAATTATATCGAAATGTAAATGGGTGCAGTGTTTTTGGTTGGGTAGTGTATATTTTATTGCGACTGCCAGTGTATGATTGGAGCCAGGATGAACAGAAGATGGTGTAGAAACTCCTATCAAATTCCATCTGTTTTTCGGTCAAAGTTCTTGACCTATGGCCTGTTATGTGTTGTTTCTTAATCCGTATAATACATTTGTGTAAATAATAATTATTATATTAATTTACACTAGAGGAAATTTGAACCGGTGAACGTGACAACACGGCGCACAAATTGTGGGCGTTGCCTTGTCAGTTCTCAGCATTCAGCACAATGTTGCCAAGTCTCCCACATTTACATGATATTTTGTTATGGAAATATTGGCTGGGTGCTCGACAAAGTCAAGAATGGACTATAATATCATGGCTTCCTCCTATTATGTTTTATTCAACGACAGGACATCTTTTCGATAAGTTGATTAAAATTGGTGACTTGAAAACCTTGCTTCATGAGCGGAAATGAAAGATTACCTGACCAATGACACAGCATAAAAACTGACGCCACCATTTATTCGACGTATCGCCAAATGGCGGCTATGACGGTACATCTGAAATGGGCTCTGATATTCAACGATTTTGAACAACGCATAGACTCATTATTGACATAAAAAAGCGTGAGAAGTGTAGTAAAAATTAATTTAGTGGAGTAATGGGCGTGTACACCTCAGTAGAACTTTCAACTCAAACCATGTTTATAATGATCCTTCTATACATAAATAATGATTGAAGACATAATTCGATCGAAAAAATTAGCTGGAATGTTTTATTTTTGGACATAAATAATAGTACCTTCTGAAAACGGGCCCTCTTATGACGTAGAAACCTCATCTCGCCATAGTTAAAAGAAAATACCAAACGCCTGACGGAGACTGAGGCAATTGATATATTAATTCTTTCAACTGTGATCTCGCGCTAATTCACTCTGTCAGATATCATGTATCATTCATCTCTGTCTGGAATAGTCTTGTTTCAGTATTAGGGTTTTGACGTCACATCATCGCATCGTTTTCAGAGGCCCGAAAAATCATGGATTTCAATAATTTATTATAAAACGTAGGGAGCTCACAGCAAGAAACGGTTTGCGGTGGTGAGCTAGTTTGGGTGAGTTCTATCGAATTATGAAATAAAAATTTTTTGTGATATAAGCCCATTGAATGCCAATAATTCATTATGAGTCCACTCGCCCATTAGGAGGGTTTTTATAATGCTGAGTATGCCTAAAAATTCAACTTATGTGTCAATTCTTGTGGTTTGTACTTACAGAAAAAAATTGAACAGCTTCGGGGCTGATTTTGAAGGACTTGTCTTGTATTTCGACGACGGCATTGGATCTGATGACGACCCAATCGACGTTACTATAATCCTCCACCAGAGTGGAATTCCATATGCGAGATATTATATCTATTTCGGCTATGTCGCCGATGTTCAGTTTCCCTATGTAACAGGCTATGTCGATACATAAAGCTGTTTGGGACACACAGTCCTAGAATAACACAAATACTAAGCTTAGAGGAAACACTACACGTCACAAAATAAAACTATCGATTTTTCAATTATTGGCGTTTTTAGTGATGTTCTGTCTCATACACTTTAACCCGCGGCGTCACCCAGGTGGAAATTCTGTACATTCTCACCCAGATGGGGTCTGATGTACAGGGTGATTGACTATGGATTTCTCGACTTCAACAGCTGATATCTCGAAAACGAAAAGAGATATTTGAAATTTGGAAAAAGGTACTTGAATGAGATGTCATTTCCTTCTAGAAAATGTGTTCTCTGCTTGATTTTATCATTTCATATACAGGGTTTGTGAAAAAAATTTTTTTTTCAAATGGTATATTATCGCATATTTCGAAAGAGCTATCTTTCCTGATTTTGAAAATATATACTTTTCATATATTCTATCGAGGGCTTGACGAAATATCAGCAAAATTTAATATTAATATTTGGTCCAAGTTAGCTATGGTTGAAATAGAATGAGATGATGAATAATAATTCAGCACCCTACACCATAGATGTACGAGCTCCACTTGGCAATTCTGACCACACACTCATCTCCACAACCTGCCCATTTTTCATTCCATCAACTGCTCCAGCACCCCCACGTCTTATATGGCATTACAATTCTGGAGATTGGGACGGTCTCCGCATGTTTTTCTCCGAGTTTCCTTGGCATAGAGTATGCTTTGACTCTGAGGACCCTTCACAGTGTGCTGCAGAAATATCCGAGATCATCATGCTCGGAATGGAAACATACATACCTCATTTTTCGAAAAGATCATCACCTTCGAAACCCTGGTTCAACAACAGCTGTTCTAGAACTGTTGCCTTGAAACAAACAGCCTACCATCGCTGGCGCAAAAACCCTAACCTCGCGACTAGAGCAGAATACGTTGATGCCAGGAATAACTGCAGCCAAACAATAGATGCTTCGAAAGAAACATACAATGCCAAGATCAGATCGAAACTCATAGATTGTCCCAATGGCTCCCGTTCGTTTTGGTCCCTTGCTAAAGCGGTCGGAAGAAATTTCACGAACAGTTCATTTCCACCACTGTCCAAATCCGACGGCACATTAGCAACAACATCGCAGGAGAAAGCGAATATTTTTGCAGAAATTTTCGCAGCAAACTCTACTTTAGATTCCCAAGGAAAAGTGCCGCCAGACATTCCACCCGTTGAGAGTCGAATGCCCGAAATCGTCTTCCGTCAACGCACTATCAGACGAATTTTGCTTGGTCTCAAAACGAATAAAGCTAACGGTCCTGATGGAATTCCACCCATTATCCTCAAAAAATGTGCACCAGAATTAACACCGATTCTCTGCAAGTTGTTTACCATCTCGTACAGGTCGGGTATTTTTCCATCATGCTGGAAGACAGCTAGAGTCCAACCAATCCCCAAAAAAGGGAACAAGAACCTGCCCAACAACTACAGGCCCATTGCCCTGTTATCAGTAATCTCCAAAGTGATGGAGAAAGCCATCAATATTGAGCTTATCAAATATCTGGAGAGCTCAGGAATCATCAATGATAGACAATACGGCTTTCGCCACCGAAGATCTACTGGAGATCTACTTGCCTACGTCACCCATTTATGGCAATCTTCAATAGAAAAACACGGGGAATCTCTAGCTGTCGCGTTGGACATATCGAAAGCATTCGACCGTGTTTGGCACGAAGGACTCCTCCACAAACTACCATCATACGGCTTACCACCTCAGCTATGCCATCTCTTATCGAGTTTTCTTTCAGGCAGATCGCTTCACGTGGTGGTGGACGGTGTATCGTCTGATACCATTGGCATCAATTCCGGCGTTCCACAAGGATCAATTTTGGCACCAACATTATTCCTGCTTCATATCAATGATCTGTTGGGAGTAACAACTTGTCCCATCCACAGCTTTGCAGATGATAGTACCCTCCATACTGCTTTCTCTTCCAGAATTCCCATTTCTTCCCAGGAAACTAAGACCTCACGGCGCAGGCAGGTCAATGCTGTCAATGAAGATATTGCTGAAATCACAGCCTGGGGAACAAACAACCTAGTTGAATTCAACGCCACCAAAACTCAAGCCTGCATTTTCTCTAGAAAGGCGGAACTCAGTATGCCCGATATTGTAATGTCTGGCTCCACCATCCCCACCAAGCCCACCATATCTATGCTCGGTATTTCCATCAGCAACACTCTTTCATGGGATAACCATGTCAGATCCATCGCAAAAGCTGCTTCCCAAAAACTCGGATTCTTGTTCCGTGCGAAAAACTACTTTACACCTCAACAGCTTCTCATGATCTACAAAGCGCAGATACGGCCTGTTCTAGAATACTGTTCCCACATATGGGGTTCAGCACCAAAACATACGCTGATGCTCTTAGATTCCATCCAGAGAAGAGCCATTCGCCTGGTGGGTGACGCCACACTCACTCACTCTTTAGCATCATTAGAACACCGTAGAAAGGTCGGCGACCTTTCACTTTTCTATCGATACTTCCACGGGAGATGTTCTTCGGAAATCTCTGCTATCATCCCTTCACTAGCAATACCAATCAGACGAACTAGACAAGCCCAGTCAGCACATCCTTTCGTTGTCAACCTCGAAAGATGTCGAACAGCACTTTATCAAGACTCCTTCATCCATAGAACGGCTAGGCTCTGGAATTCATTGCCTGTGGAAGTGTTCCCAACAACATATAATCTCCAAAAGTTCAAAAAAAATTCCAATACCTACCTCCTGTCCCTATCCGCCCTAGGAACGCACGATGTTCTTTGAACATTATAGGGATTCCCTCTCGTGCGCTCCAAGCGATATAAAAAAAAAAAAAAAAAAAAAAAAAAAAAAAAAGTGAATTGACAGATATGACAAAATTCAATCCGCTTCTCATTATCATCATAATTGAGTTTGTGGCATGGTCTAATTCTGGAATCCCTATATTTATATTTCTTCAAGGTATGTTGAACAAAATAATAGCTGAAACCGAACTCTCTCACTGCATTTCTTATTGACCGTGAAGGATCCTCAACAAAATACTGGATTACAAGAAGTTCCTCGTCTTCATTGTCTTGCCTTCTCTTTATTCTCTTGATATTGGACAAACTGGAAGTTCTGTCAAATTTAGCAGCCAAATACTTTACATAATTCTCACTTGGTAATCTCCTGCCTGGATAACTCCTCATAAACTTACGAAGTGTTTCAGCAAGATTTTTATTAACTGAAAAATAGCACTCCAAAATATCTCTTCTTTGTTCCAGTGGATATGGCATCGTAAAAAAATTGTCGAAATTTTGCGCACTTATGTCACTGGAATGTGAACCAAATGTCAATTCACTTATTCATCATCTCATTCTATTTCAACCATAGCTAACTTGGACCAAATATTAATATTAAATTTTGCTGATATTTTGTCAAGCCCTCGATAGAATATATGAAAAGTATATATTTTCAAAATCAGGAAAGATAGCTCTTTCGAAATATGCGATAATATACAGGGGGTTCCATTTGAAAAAAAAATTGTTTTCACAAACCCTGTAAATGAAATGATAAAATCAAGCAGAGAACACATTTTCTAGAAGGAAATGACATCTCATTCAAGTACCTTTTTCCAAATTTCAAATATCTTTTTTCGTTTTCGAGATATCAGCTGTTGAAGTCGAGAAATCCATAGTCAATCACCCTACACCATAATTAGAAACTCGAGGAAAAAAAACAATAAGAATATTTCCAGCATTCGGTTGCCCCCTTACAAACAACCCTCAGAATTCTTTGTAACATTCGCAAATGCTCAGAGCACAGAATGTACTCTAACAATAGCCTCCTTTGATTTCGGAACATACCCACAGGTAGATATTGCAGGAAAGATACCGTTAGCAGGTACAGATTGTGACTCTATATTACAGCTAGTTACCTAGCTTAGTTTCGCTATTCGATCCATCGTTTATTCAACTTCTAGTATACACATGATTGTTTTATAAAATACCTGGATAGGGGTTGTTGTTATTTCTGGAAAATTCCAACCTCCAGGAAATTTAATGGAACAGTTCTGCTTGAGGTTCGGCGGGAGAGGGGAAGCTTCGATTTGTTTCGATGAACTTGGATTAGCGTCCATGAGGGCCATGAGCTGCAAGGGCTTGTTGAGTTTGTGAGATTTTGTAAAATGGCTTCCAACCGATATTTTCGGGATTAGTGCCAACAATTTCCAGGGATCAGCTCCTCATTGTTGTGGTTCGTCTCCAATCGATTCACAAATGGTGATTATCAACCGAGAGTGAATTCTTCAGCACTTCCAGAATCCAGAGATACCGAATACGTGCCGGCATTTTTTCTTGACACCAGTCGTAAGTGTTTTTCTTTCCTTCAAATTCCTCAAAATGTCTTCATGAGTTTTCTTTTCATTGATTTCAGTTGGTAATTCAAATATTCTTCGTTTGATACCTAATATATCTTAAAATATGGGAAACCAGATGGAATTAACCTGGTCAATTTGTTGTACAACCCTCTTCAAGGGGTAAGTAGATATTTTTTTAGGATAAGAATGTCAGAGTTAACATTCTTGTTATTTAGGGTTTTAGGTAGGGTTGAACCTAAGCTGTGTCCATGTAGGCACCACTACCAGGACAAAATGTAATTTTGTTTTAAAAAGGGAAAACTGCAGGGTAATATTACCAACCCCTTGTGTTGCCATCTTTTCCATGCCGGTGGTAGTAATACCTAAGTAGGATTATCCCAAGTACCAGACTCTTGAGCCGAGTCTAGGGTTAGGCCACAAGGCCAGATATAACCTTTTTCTAAATTTTAATTCCTAGTTTATTCAACAATCATATTTGTATCACCTGGAACTTTTATCATAACTATTTCAACTCATATAAATGTAACATGAAGATACTTTCAAACCAGTACTGTGCGGATGCCCATAAATATCAATTTTCCAATTTAATGTGAGATAACACTCAGGGGTGTTCATCATACTTTACATTACTTATTCTACCTTTTACTGACATTGCACTGTACATTTATTACCAATGAATCATGTAAATGAGTTACCAGGGTGAGTGAAAGTACATATGCATATTGTGTTGCCAAATTTTTCATAATCTATATACAGAGTGATATATTATCGGTCATGGTCATAGGTCGCGTGCAAGAACTGTCAGATGACCGACCCTGGAGGCAAAACATATTTGTTTACAAGTGATCGAAATAGTTTTCCGCAATTATTTTGGCATATGAATCGTATTTTTCCGCTATTCATCAATTCGCTAATGCCATCACATTGTGCTGTTGTAAAATGCACAAAAACTGCAGCGGAAGATGAAGAAATCCGGATGGTACATTATGATTCAAAAGTAAGTACCTACTATAGACACTCACATAGTTTTCATTTTTGAAATTTGGTTATTTCTCTGATTTCTCATCGGAATTCCTTCTGCAATAGGATCAGCTAATAGAAATATACTTGAAATTTCTAGAATAATGCAAGAAGATTGGATTCATGCAATCAATCGGTAGGACTGGTCTGACATGCTGACGATCGTGTGTGTTGTAGACATTTTCAATCTATTAGCAGCATTAGCTTGTATTGCAGAAGTGGCAGAAGGCAGATGGAATTTTAATGAGGAATGACAACATTTCATAATGCTAACTATGTGAGATTACTATTTACCTGAAAAATCATATTCCCTAGTCTCTTGCTGCATTTTTTTTGCATTGTACAACAGCACAATGCGAAGGCATGCTTGAATTAATGAATAACGCAAGAAACACGATTCGTATGCCAAAATATTGTGAAAAACTATTTCAACCTTTTGATTCCTCTGTAACCAAATAAAAAAGTGAGGTTGTGTTTCAATAATTCACAGAAGAATGAGGTTGTGTTTCAATATTTTGCCTCCAGGGTCGGTCTTCGTGCACGCGACCTATATTGTTTTGCCAAATTTTTCATAATTTATATACAGGGTGATATATTACCGGTTCCACGAATCTTCAGGTCAGCTATTGTAATTGTAGTTTTATAATTAAATGTAAATATCTGGAGAATTATCAGTGCTATTTCTTACATTCCTCCTCTTCCTGAGTTGTTTGAAAGTTTGTTTGACTATAGGAAAATTAAAAAGTGACATTTCAAATTTTATCCAACTAGACCTATTTTACTGGATCTTGTTTTCTTGACTTGAACAAGACCAACTAATCTAAGTACTATAAGTCAAGTGGCGCCTGGGTAAGTTTCCATAATTTTAATTTTTATATGATTTAAAACTTATTGAATAAATGAGATTACACTATATCCTAATAACCCCGACCTTCAAGCTCTCTAGACTATATCGCTAACGGGATACTAGCTTTTCAATTTGCCACAAAGTTGAGAACGTTACATCTTCGAGAGTCTTGTGCGAGCAAGGAATAACGGGGGCCTTACCTTTTAACACTTTCTTGGGCCATCAGAAAAATTTCTGCAGTCGCGGGAATTGACCCCACGACCGGCAAGCGAATGCCGATTAGAACTAACGAAAAAACAAAAACATGATATCTTTGGAAACTGGTTAAAAAATGAACAACACTCAATTCTGGAAGATTTCATGCAAAACTAATTATTAAAATGTTCAAGTTATCAGCTAGAAAAGTAACATGTAGTATATGAACAAAGACAAAAAATGATCCATTTTCTTATGGGAATATACATGTATCTTTCAGAATAATAGTAGATTGTTTTATTAGGATCAAAAGTGACACTTTGTTTGATAAGCGAATTTTGCATTTGCGAGGCGGACCGTTTAGCGAAGCCGAGCGAAAGCAAAATTTGCGAGTCGAACAAAGTCACTTTTGATCCGAATGAAACATGCTATTTTTTCTGCAACCGAAACAATTAACTAAAATAAACGGGTGAAGTAACCACCAATGCCGTGCCATATGTATGCAATGCAACAAATATTGACAAATAACCCATGTGGTGAGAATATTCTACCTGCATTAACAACAGGTTAGGTTTTCTAGGATGTTCGTTTCAATTGAGATGTTTCAATATAAATACAACCACAGAGTGACATATTTGTGTATGGACCAGGTGCTCTAATGGCAAATACCGCGCCAGTGCCAGCTATAGGAACAAGACGTGGAAAATGTTAGGTTAGTGAGCATATCAACAATGATAATAGTGATTATTTATTCCTCTCCATACTACACTGTGTTTGACTTTATAATCAAATGAAGCTGAACAATATCGTTGTTTGAGACAAAAAACTATTGCTTGCCATGATTATTCAAAAACGAGTTATCCATCCCGAGAATAACGAATGAAATACAGATCAAGCAAGTATTTGAATCTTGAAGGCTTCCATGATCAAAACAAAAATACTTAACTGAGATGTTCATAATTCCAATACTAAACTATAATAAGGTGTATTTATATCTCCAGCATGGGTATGAAATGCCAAATCTGCTGAAATCGGAAACAAATCAGGTATGCGTCTCAACCCAAATTACCAACCGTCACAATGTTGTTTATTCTTGATGACGTCCAGTAGATCCTTTTTAGTTCCTAGGAGCTAAAGTTCAACTTCAGCTCCTAGGAACTCAAATTCAACTTTAGCTCCTAGGAACTAAATATGTTGCCTAGCAACATACCTATTTTTGTGTCAGTAATGGAAACGTCAATTTAAGAGCTAATTTTGGTATCAAAATGGACGACTTTTGTGTCGGTTGCAGAAAAAATATGTATATTTGTTACACAGGTGGGGTTTCTCAGACCCCAGAGCTGTTTACTGCACTGTCACTATCTTGGTAGCTAACTAAAGATTGAATTCGCACCAGAATATCACAGAATAGTGTTTTGGTAAGCTATAGGCAACCAAAGAAACGTGCAGGCATTCTAATTAAAATGCCAGTGATTGTCCATCTGAGACCACACCTGGGCGACGCCGGGTTAAAATAGATGATAAATGGATTTCAAATCGGTATATTCAACTTATAATCATGAGGTGAATACATCTGAAAACTCATTTCACATACAAATCTGGAAATATTCCTATTGGTTTTTTTTTCCTCGAGTTCCTAATTATGGGGTACATCAGACCCCATCTGGGTGAGAATGTACAGATTTTCCACCTGGGTGACGCCGGGTTAAGGACAAGAAACCTAGTTGTATCTATTTTTTTAATTGTTTGAATACATGAAAAGTGCAAGTCCTAACTCTAGAAAGCATTGAAACTTTTTCAAACTGAAACATGCCCATTGTAATCGAATTCATTCAACTCACCAACGACACAATTTTCCTTCTTTTGCCTCCTTTCTCTGTCGTTTCGAACGGCACAACATAATTGATGCTCCGTTTCCTCCTGACATGTGACGTATCAGTCGACGATATCCCGAAGTCATCGGGCAAAGTCAACCTTTCCGGTTCATCGATTTCCTTCGATTTATTCAATTGCAATTCGTTGATTTTCGTTCTGTCCAAAACTTCACAATGACCGTCGATTCCGACACCTAAAAGAATATTATTTTGATACGGAATTCTGAAATTCATGATCATGAAACTAGACAATATAACTTGTTTCATCTTGACGCCGCTAGCTCCATAATCGGACAAAAAAGATTCACTCATTCAGCCTTAACTAAATTCAATAAACTACCTGGCAATATAAAAAAATGCAGAAATATAAGTAAATTCAGAAATGAAGTAAAAAAACTGATTATTTCTGAGCGAACTGGATAAAATTAATCATGCCATTTTTTTTACAAATATTATTCTTTGTTTGCCAATTCACAGTTGTTGAAATATATTTTGAATGATGATATGTTTACCTATAGGTACATAATTATGTACTTCCTTATACCAGAGCCTCTTCTGTCTGGAAGTTATATGTTCAATAAATAAATAAAATATCTGAATCTGAAGCCGCGAATACGTTGGAGCTGTGATAAATGACGAAAGCTATGATACTGGCGGACCATTGAAATGAAAAGCACCCGATTTCATGCAGGACGAATTTAGTAATCCGATTTTTTTCAAAATTGGTATCTGAGGATTTTCAGGGTCGGAGATTATGATTTATTCGTCAAAACTAGGAAATTCGAAATGGCGGACGAGTTCTTCAATTATGGTCCGATTCTATTCAAAATGGTAGGGTCCCTTGATGTAAATTGACGTCTTGTCATCTTAACAGGGTACGGACAGATCCTCGTCTCCTCTCACTCTAAAGTGTTTGTGAAATAGTTAAATATAGTTCCATCTTTATTCATTTCTGGGGATGAACACTAGACATTTGTTGTTTTTTAGGTTATATTGAGGACATTGGCGTATCATACGCAAGTTCCACATGTAATTTCTCATTCAACTCTACATATTATATCCAAATGATGATAATTTTCGAGTTTTTCATTTTCAACTCCAGCATAATCTTTGTGAGGCAGTGAGCAAATTTTTCTGAAAGTTTAATACGTTTTACCAAATGGGACTGTTCTTAGGCAGTACCTATGATCTGTCCGTACCCTGTTAGATGACAAATTCGTCAGTTTGCATCAAGGGACCCTAGTATCTGGGGGTTTTCATGGTCTTAGATTATGATTCATTTGTCAAAATTTGGAAATTCGATATGGCGGAACCAATATGGCGGACGAGTTTTTTAATTATCTTTGTTCTAAAAATTTGTTCTAAAATTTGTTCTATCCGTCATTCGGTTGCCCCCTTACGAGCAACCCTCAAAAGTCTTCGAAAGTCTTGTGCGAGCAAGGAATGACGGGGGCCTTACCTTTTAACGTGTGATCCCAAACACTTTCTTGGGCCATCAGAAAAATTTCTGCAGTCGACGGGGATCGAACCCACGACCGGCAAGCGAATGCGAATTAGAATATAGACACTCTGTCCGCACGGCTACCTGGCCACCCACCGATTGGACCGATTATATTAAAAATTGGTATTAGAGTTTTCGGAGTCGGAGATTATGATTCTTTCGTCGAAATGTGGAAATCCAAGATGGCGGACGAGTTTTTTTATTATGGTCAGATTCAAAACTTGTATCTGGGAGTTTTAGGTGTCAATGATTATGATTTTTCAGTCAAAATTTGGAAAATTGCAGATGGCGGATCCAATATGGCGGACGAGTTTTGTAATTATTATCCGATTATTTTCAAAATTGGTATCTGGGGGTTTTCGGGGTCGGAGATTATAATTATTTTGTTTTGAAATTCAAGGTGGCGGATCCAATATGACGGACGACTTTTGTAATTATGGTCAGATTCTATCAAAGTTGGTAACTATGAATTTTCGAGGTCCTTCGTCGAAATTTAGAAATTCAAAATGACGGTTCTAATATCGCGGACGTTTTTCAATTATGATTAGATTCTATTCAAAATTGGTATCTGGGGTTTTCGAAGTCGGAGATAATGATTCTTTCATCAAAATTTGGAAATCAAAGATGTCAGATCCAATATGGCGTACGAGTTCTGTAACTATGATCCGATTCCATTCAAAATTTGTATCTGTGGGATTTTGGGGTCGGAATAAGAATTAGGAAATTAAAGATGGAGGATCCAATATGGCGAACTAGTATTGCATTCCTCGTCCGATTCGCCTGAAAATGTAAACCACGTGGATTTTGAGGTCAGTAATAAGAATTTCTAGTCAAACTAAACGCAAAATGACGCTTCCTAGATAACGAACGATTTCGTCATTTGTCATCCGATCAGACTGAAAATTTATATCAGAACATTTCTGAGGTTAACGAAATTTCCAGTCCAGATTCAAGATGGCGTACAATTTAGTTTGTCATTTCTCGCCCGATTTGCCTGAAGATGTGAATATGGAGATTTTCGTTGTCAAGGAAATTTCAAATACAGGTAAAAACTAAATACCGAGACATAAACCAATAAATACAGTGTGTCCCACTTACCAAGCTCACCATGGGTATCTTTTTAACGGTGAGAGATACGAGATCGGTTGAATGACACCAAATGTGGAGTTTGTCAAGGCCAACTATAATGTGAAAAAATATTTTGATAAAATCTATTCGTTTTCGTTTTATACGCAAAAAACAGATTTTGATCATTTTCATGTCTCCTCCGTAACTTCTTTATTTGAGTAAATATTCAAATAGGAATTTCACATTCTTATGGCAGTTTTTCAAAGTGATTTCGAAAAAAATATAAAATTTATACCAACTCTTCTAGAATTTGAGATATCAGCACCAACTTCAGTTTTTCAAATGTAGGTCATAGCTCACTATGACTTAGTTACAAATAACTTTTTTTTGTCTCACAGATGATATGTCGCAGTAATAGTTTTGTGCTGATAACAACGGAGTTATCGTCATTTATACAGAAACAAAAAATTATTTGGAAGCCGCCATCTTGAATTTATGAATTTCAACAAAAAAATCATGATCTCCGACCTCAAAAACCCCCACTTACCAATTTTGAATCAAGTCGGACCAAATCTTGTCCGCCATCTTGGAGCAGCCATCTTTTTTAATTTCAACAAAAATTCCATAACTCCGATTACCTTGAAATTTGGCAGGTGTTCATAATTTCGGTGACAATACATTATGGAATTTTTGTTGAAATTGAAAAAAATGGCTGCTCCAAGATGGCGGACAAGATTTGGTCCGATTCCATTCAAGATTGGTGAGTAGGGGGTTTTGAGGTCGGAAATCATGATTTTTTCGTTAAAATTTATAAATTCAATATGGCGGCTTCCAAATAATTTTTTGTTTTTGTATAAGTAAATGACGATAACTCCGTTGTTGTCAACACAAAACTATTACTGCGACACATCATCTGTAAGAAGGAAAAAAAGTTATTTGTAACTAAGTCATAGTGAGCTATGACCTACATTTGAAAAACTAAAGTTGGTGCTGATATCTCAAATTCTAGAAGAGTTGGCATAAATTTCATATTTTTTTCGGAATCACTCTGAAAAACTGCCATGAGAATGTGAAATTCCTATTTGAATATTTTCACAAATAAAGAAGTTACGGAGGAGACATGAAAAATATGAAAATCTGTTTTTTGCGTATAAAACAAAAACGAATAGATTTTATCTAAATATTTTTTCACATTATAGTTGGCCTTGACAAACTCCACATTTGGTGTCATTCAACCGACCTCGTATCTCTCACCGTTAAAAAGATACCCATGGTGAGCATGGTAAGTGGGACACACTATATATATATATAATCCAAGATCAAGGATCAATGATCCAAGACCAAGTTGCCGGGGTAGCAACCAGGTGGGATTTCTCCCCCTTCTCACAAGACTCCCCTAGGGATGTCTGCCGGTCACCTGTCTCTCGACTTATACCGACAGCACCCCAGGGAGAAATGGAGGATTTGGGTACGGCAAATCAGCGCGCTAGAGCCATCTCCCTTATGTAACGGAATGTTCTCCTGCTACCATTTTATTATACCAATGGTGAGGCCGTCTGATAAGACAGACTACTGGCTCTGCAGTGTCAGTGCCCGAGCAGAAACGCTGCTCACCCGCCGAGGCAGGCAAGATATCCTCCCACTTGACCCATAGTGGGATTCTTCTTCACCTCCTCTACCGTAGACCGGTGGTGTTTTTTGGAAACCGCTGCCCCCTGGAGTCCAACCCAATTGGTGAGGCACCAGGCCGTATGTACGGCCTGATGGGACTATCCCTCATCACCCCAGGTACCCATGTCAACAAGATTCCTCTTGTTACGTTTGATGGGTCGCCGTGGCAAAAGGCTTTCGCCTAATTGCTACTCATGTTGACAAGAATCCTCTCGTCCCGTTGAATGAGTGATCGTTCGAGGACTTTTACACGTTCCTCTACCTCGTTAACAGGAGAGGACCCGGCTCTACCTATGATGCCTGGCGATAGGATCGCTTGGGGCTACCCTCTCCCTGACGAACTAAGGCACAAGGTACACCAAAATTCCAGATTTCGCTGAGCAAGCCCAGCTACCCATGTCGACCAGAATCCTCTGGTCCCGTTTGATGGGTGTCCGTTCGCGGCCTTTCACACGTACCGCTACCATGACAAGAGTGAGGACCTCAAGCTTTTAACCAGCGGTGTCTGGAGTCACCCCCACCCCGACGCCGTGAGTACATGGTGGGCCCACGGCCAAGTGGGACACACTGTATACAATGTAACTCCTCCATAGTTACAAACATCAGACAAGATGGAACACTTACCGTACACCTTTGGTATGCTTTCCAAATAGAGCAGCCATTTGCCGGGTCTGTTGTCTGTTTGTTTGGGCCCCGGAGTCACCTGAATCGGCCATTTGATGTCCACTTTGACGTCGCTCAAATCCCATGAACCCTCATTGTCAATTTGATATTTGTGCATGACTCGGGCTCCGATGTCTTCCAGATGATGAACGGCCGATTCTCCCGTGATTTTGCCACCGTAGAATAAATTCGTAGATGCTTTCCTGGATGGACGACAATGAATAGTTGAAAATTATTGTTTAAATATCTGACAGAAAATTACTGCTTTTTTGGCTGATACTACCGAATATTGAATAATATCTGTCGAATATTGGGATTACCTAATATCGGAAAATAGAAAAAAAATGGAAATTTTTTGTTTTCATCAATTCAGTTTTTTTTTTCGATATTTTGTTCATTATGATTTTCTTAAATTACTTTTTGTTATTTTTTTATATTTTTTCTTTCATTATTATTATTTCTTTCGATTTCTTGCTTCATCTTTCGTTTTTTAGTCCGACCAATCTATTAAAAATTTCAACTAACCCGATGCTATGGAATTAATTTGTTTTTCAAATGTTTTCATTCATTTCCATTCATTTTGACATTTTTTATTTTTTTTATCTCTTGTATTTTAGTCCGACCGATCTATTAAAAACTTCTACTAACCCGTTGGTATAGAATTTCTTTGTTTTTTCATTACTTTTTGATTTTTCATTTTTATTTTCGCAATTTTTTTCTTCTTTTTATACAGGATGAGTCATAACTTTTGAGACATAGGCTAAGGGCGGATTGATTGGACCAAAATATGGTAATAGGACCAAACATGACAATAAAATATGGCTGTGGAAAAATATATAGGGCGTTGAAGTTGATTTTTTTTTCGTATTTTGCTAATAACTTCACTGAGGCGCAGAGGGATAATTTTTGTACAGGAAATATTATTTTATGTACCATTCTACATATATATTGTTACTGAAGGCGCCACGTCAATGGTTCCTGATGATGAAATCGACTAGTTATTTTTTTCGTTTTTTCGAAACTCTTCGGTAATTTCGATTAGAAAATATGACATATAACTCTTGTTTGAAAACGATATTTTCATCCGTTTTCGAGAAAAACGCTATTGAACAGTTCAAAGTTCCGGAAGGGAATTTCAATTAGTGTTTCATTTATGAAGAGTGTGCTTTGGACTCAGATAATTGTTGCTGGTAAATGACATTTCTTGTGAGTGAATACATTTTGGTGCGAGATTATAGTGAATTGAGACGCCCTGTATCTTTTCCACAGCAATATTTTATCAAGGCATATTTGGTTCTCCGCCCTTAGCCTATGTCACAATAGTTATGACTCACTCTGTATATTTTTTATTTGAATTTTTTGAAATATTTTTGCATGACATTTTTTTTTATTTCCTCTGATTTTTGCCATATCTTCTGTTTTTTAGTCCAACCAATCTATTAAAAACTTCTTCTACACCGTTGATATGAAACTTTTTTTTATTTCCTCCCAATTCTTCATTTCTTTTATTTTTGTTTATTTTCATGTAATTTTATTTATTTTAATGTATTTTTATTCATTTTCATTTGATTTTTTACATATTACATTTACTTATTATTTGATTTTTTATATATTTTATATCTTTTATTATTGAGTCCGACCTATCGAAAACTTCTACTAACCCGTTGTTATGAAACTATTTGTTTTTTATTTTCTTCCCAATTCTTCATTTCTTTTATTTTTGTTTATTTTCATGTATTTTTATTTATTTTCATTTGAATTTTTACATATATTTACTTATTATTTGATTTTTTATCTATTTTATATTTTTTTCACTTATCTTTTGTTATTGAGTCCGACTATTGAAAACTTCTACTAACCTGTTGATATCATATGAAACAATTCTTCATTTCTTTTTGTTTATTTTCATGTATTTTTATTTATTTTCATTTAATTTTTTACATATTATATTTACTCATTATTTGATTTTTTATATATTTTATATTTTTTTTCCTCATCTTTTGTAATTGAGTCCGACCAAATAAAAACTTCTACTAACCCGTTGATATGAAATTTGGCGATTTTTTGTAGCACAGCCTCCACCTTCTGCGATGTTTTCTTAGACAGTTCTGTTGAGGTAGAATTTACAAACAAATTGAGCAGCAGTATCGTCTCCTTGGTGTCTTTTAGTATCTCGAACCTTATTTTCAAGTTCAACGCCCCTTGGAATGGATTACCTACGTCACATACGACCAATGTGGCGTTGATGTACGAACATTTCACGTTACTCTGAAACAGTGATCGTTTTATGAAAAACATCTAAATTACCATAATTACGTGATACTCAATGTTAGCTACTCATTTTTTGACCTGAATGTTCATCTTACATCAAATTATCATCCGAATTGAATATTAAATGGATCACGAACAATTCATTTCAGAATTTCATACCTAATAACCACTACATTTTTTATCGATCATTATCGTTCAAAGCACTCCATGATAACAATGTTCAATGATACCAATCGAGTATGATGCCGAGGATGCACCTGATATGATTTTCTCAATAACTCGGAAACTGAGAAAGATATCGAAACAAATGAAAAACACAAAGCGAGGTGAAGAAATGATATTGATTTTTCATAAGGTTCAATCCACTACGACACAATAAAGAAATCTGATGGGTTCCATGTCAGAGGGCTCGAAAAAGAATAACGCCCAGTGTAGCTGAGTCCCCCTCTATTGATAAGGACTGTTCATACTGCAGATAGAAAGTTGATCACCTAATTTCAAATCACTAGGTTTCATTTCAACTGAGATAAAAATAAAAATCCAAAAATGTAAGCAAACTTTAACACCCCGTATAATGAAAACCAGTTTCTCCACGACAAAACAAAAAAATACGTATCTAGTATTTTAATTTTTGCTATCGATTGTCAAAGTTAAAACCGATTAAACCTAGTCGTAGAGTCGTTATTGTTGAATGTTCTGACATAGAAGTTGGTAGCTACAGATCTATTTGAGAGAATGCCGATTCCAGTGGCATATGCGATTTTTTTCAAAGGAAATCTCTTATATGAATTCTGGATTTTTCATCCATTGAATGTGATATAGTTGGTCTTTGTTTGTGGAGGAGTGGATGTCGTCGCTTAGCTCTAATATAAACCTCTCACCTCTACAGATCAAAAAAATAATTGGTCACTCTGTATAACAAAAAAGATAGATATAAAAGTGATACATTTCACACAGAACAGGTAGACACACAGTATACATGGGCAGATGATTGAAAGAAAAACTGTATCCCTATAATATGCCTCTTTTCATATAGTATGATGTCTTGGTATATGAAAGAGATTTCTATTGCGCATAAAATGATGCATAATTGCATGATTTTTTTTTAAACTAGGTTTTTTCCGTATACAGTACACAGTGATGAATATAGATGTAGTTGAAAGTGAGCAAGTTACCACTTTTTTCTTCTCTTGGAGCACACGAAAGGAAATCCTTTGTTTTAACTTCCAGCTACAGATGCGATCCAGATGAGTTATTGCCAACGAAGTCTTTAGAACGGTATGAGAAGCACTACATGGGATTTATTGAATGGTGCAATAGTAAAAGAGTGGAAACTCAAAATAAAGAAGTATTTTTGGTTTATTTCCTAGAAATGTCTTAAACCTAGAGGCCAAACACCATGGGCATGCTGGCTTCCGCAATAAGCTTGCCCACAAAATAATGCTTCAAACGGTACACACAATAGATATACCACTAATTATTAGAAGATAGAGAATATATCACTATTGTTAGTTGTTCCTATTTGCAGGAATAATTGATTGAACTTAATACTGAACTGAAATATTTTTTCTACAAGCGTGCGTGATTCACCCTATACCCGCACGCAAATTAGTTTGGGAAGTGTCATTTTCCTGCAACATTGCGGGAAAATTTTTCCCACACTAGTGCGGGAAAAACAAAGATGTGATAATATGGCAAAATATAAGTGGTAGGTGATGGAATATAAGGGTTTGAGTTTGTATGTTGCAGTATTAAGTTGCACTATTTATTGTGAAAATTAAGAAATATTGAAAAATAAAAATTGATTATTATAAAAATCTCCCTATAGATTTGGATTGATCTGATGGGAAACGATTATTGTTGTCATGCCAATCAAACCTCAAATGAGTTTGTAATTGTCGAAGTGACAGACACAGTATTACTGTCATTTTCGATTCAGTGGAATTGCCACAATGTGATCAAAAACTTCCAGCTATAGGGATGCGATACAGATGCGTTATTGCCAACAAAGTCTTAAGAAAGGTATGAGAAGATATACACGCGTTTTATTGAATGGTGCAACAATAAAGAAATGAAAATACCGAATAATGAAGAAGTATTTTTGGCTCATTTCCTAGAAGTGTCTGAATCCTAGAGACCAAACACCTTATGGGCCTGATGGCTTCCGCAATTAACCTACATAATGCGTCAAACTGTAAGTTCACAATAGCTATTACTAATAATTAGTAGATAGAGAATAAATTTCCCTTGTTAGTTGTTCCTATTTGCATAAATAATTAATTGAACAAATCAATCAATTCCCTACGCTTGTAGAAAAAATATTGTTCCTAACTCATGCGGAAAGTGTCTTTCCCGCACTCGACTGCTTGCCCGAACTCCGCTTCGCGTCGTTCGTGTCAACGGCAGTCGCGTGCGGGAAAGAATAACCTTCCGCACTTGTTAGGAAAATTACTATTTCATCACTTACCGGTACGTCGTTATCCGATACGAGTGCGACATAACTGAGTGCATTAGGGTGAAAAATGAAAAGCTTTGTCTCATAGGCAGAGTCACCACTGTTTGTTATGTTCACGTCAAGTATGAAATCTTTGTTTATTCCGTCCACCTGGTAGACACCAGAGTTGTCAACTGAAACACGAAATTTCCATCTGAATTACAGCGCAAAAAAATGGGAGTTTTAGTTAGGTATATGATGGAATGCTTAAGTAACTCATCCACAAATTCTAACATCTCATTTCGCGTCCTTTGAAGAGTGAGGACACGCTTGTCACCACTGACATTTACGAATTGTCATCATTTTCAGATTTAAAACGTCAGTTCTGAAAATCGAATAGGCGTCTATGCGAAAATGTTTTCGAAATTCTTCACTGCATTCGACTGCAGACAACGTTGGTCATGACCATTGCGGTCGGACCAAATACTCGGTCAAACACTCTCATGTCACAGACGGTTGAACCACGGTCGAACACTATTGGTCTCTGTCATATGTCATATTGTGATTTGAACGATTTGAACTTGAAATTTGAGCCAAAAATTCAAAAAAGGAAATAGAAAAAACAAGGTTTCTTTCAAGTATTCGGAAAGTTTGAAATCAAAAAAGAAAAATTGAATAGGCTTGAGCACAATATCCTTGTACGTCATTAAAAAATATGGGCGAAATAAAGAAAAAAATATGTGGTGGCAGTTGGATATACTTGCTGATATGTGAATCAGATGATGTAGAATTTTTTCGAATTATATTAATGACTTCATAGTTGTGCAAATAGATTTCCTTATGATTATGATTATTATTTTAACAAATTATTAACAAAACTGCATCACGAAACCATATTATAAATCTATGATCTATAGAAGTACTTGCTGAAAACAAAGAATATCAGAACCATTACCCATATCACATATTCAAAATACCTATGTGATTGCTGTGTTAATGTTGATTAGAGTTCCTAAATGTATTTGACACTGCTGTATTGACGTTTTTTGTATATTATAGTACGGACACTATGACAAGCACTGACGAACAAATATAACTATAAATGAATTGATGAAAAAAAAAACAGGAACTGACAATACACGGACGTCCATGACATAAATTTCAAAGGTTTGACAAATTGAGAGAATTAGGAGAAAGATGCGAGTGTGTGCAGTTTCAAACTGTGAGAAAACGGGAAATCAATTCACTCAGTAGTTATACTAGGAGAGCGTCACTACCAGCATAGGGAAATACACGCTTTAATCTTAACTGGAACGCGGCCTGTGTTCTAGCGGGGAAGCGGGATAGCGGGAGCGCGATGGCGTGACATCATCAGTGACAGGGTGTTTGAGTTGAATAAAAATTAAAAATTATATATACAGGGTTTCCCACGGTTAGACCACCCCACTTTAGGGTTAAATATTGAAGGATTGGGGAGTGTGGGTACTCTGAGAGAAGGATTTTTCGCGAACACTCCAAAAATGGCAACTTGCCTATATGCAAAGTCTCAAGGTTTACGAGATATAGCTCTAAATGCGTTGGAAATATCATATGAAATAGTATCTTTGGATATGACATAGTAGAGCTAGTTAGTAGAGCTAAATAGATTATTAATCTTCGTTTTCGTATTCTTTCACCCCATACATCATCACTCAAACGTCATATGTCAAAAGTCATACGACATTTGTCCTAACACACATATTGTCATATATGTCTTACGAAGCAATGTCCAATATTTTTTTAAACGTCTGGCAACAATGTAACGCAAGAAACATGATTTTCAGCGATATCTCGTAAACCTTGAGACTTTGCATATAGGCAAGTTGCCATTTTTGAAGTGTTCGCGAAAAATCCTTCTCTCAGAGTATCCACACTCCCCAATCCTTCAATATTTACCCCTAAAGTGAGGTGGTCTAACCGTAGGGCACCCTGTATATATATAATTTTAATTTTTATGCAGCTCAAACACCCTGTCACTGATGATGTCACGCCATCGCGCTTCCGCTACCCCGCTTCCCCGCTAGAACACAGGCCGCGTTCCAGTTGAGATTAAAGCGTGTATTTCCCTATGCTGGTAGTGACGCTCTCCTAGTATAATAACTACTTCACTCTATCCGAATCTTCATCGGATAACGTAATTCTAAGAAAATGGAAACAGAATATGATGCGGCCGGCATGAAATTTAGTTTCAGGCCACAAAATTCGCGAGGTATTCAAATTTCTTGGTAGGATAAAGAACAATTCTCTCAATTTGTCAAACCTTTGAAATTTATGTCATGGACGTCCGTGTATTGTCAGTTCCTGTTTTTTCCATCAATTCATTTATAGTTATGTCTGATTGTCAGTGCTTGTCATAGTGTCCGTACTCTAATATACAAAAAACGTCAATACAGCAGTGTCAAGTACATTTAGGAACTCTAGTTCGAACGAATTCGTGTGTTCCGACCGAATATATTCGGGATATACATCGACAACTTGCTGCATAATTACAAAGTCAGTTAAACATCTGAAATAATCCGACCCTGAAGCAGGAGAATCTTTTTGTTAAACTGACACGATTTGTAATTGTGCAAGAAGTTTGGGATGTATAACCTTGAATATTTTGAAATTCCAATTGTATTCGATGCGATTCTTTTTTGAGTAGTTCTGAACAAACGTCAAAATTTGACGACGCGTTTTGTTTGTATATGTAACAATATAAATTAGTTACTATGGAAATGGAAATAATTCTGAATTTCTGATTGGTGGAACTACACAATGTATATCCACGTATATTCGAAACTAGACAAGGTAGCTTGACTCAATTGATTGGTTTAAAATCATACGGAGAAAATAATCAATGATACAGGGTTTCTATAAATGATCGTAACATCGTAGTAGCCGTTGAAATATTTTCTCCATTTGCCGCCTTCCATTTATGGAGATTCACACATCCGAATTTAATTTCTGACATCAATCATTATACTGTCATAGCTGATAAACTCACAATTGTCAGTTTTTCGTTAAAATTTTCAAATGATTCTGTTTTCTACTTCGTGATTGTCGTGTTGAGAAGAGAGATGGCTTATTCCTCGGAGCAGAATACATTTATTGTAATGTCTTATTGTCGAAATGGCACATTCATCAATGGTGGATGGAGTTACTCGGTAGTAGCCTGCAAGGATGAGTACCTGGCGAAATATCCTGATGTACAGATTCAAGAATATTCTTTGAAAGCCCACATCAGAACAGTGATCAACAGATTCATCCAAACTGGAAACGTTGATAAAAATAAATCAACAGGAAGGCTCCAAATATCGGAAGAAGTTGTCGAAAATCTAAGGGCGCGTGTTGAGCAAAATCCCCAAACGTCATTGAAGAGATTATCTTTACAATCTGGTGTGCCACTAAGTACATGCCATAAAGTGCTCAAGAAAAGATTGCATAATAATATGCACCCTTACAAGACCAGTGTACTACAGCAACTTCTGCCAATAGATATCCCATGTCGTCTGGAGTACTGCCAATGGTTCCAAAATAATCTCAACGATGACCAGCTATTGGACCTAAAATTTTTCAGCGATGAGGCTTGGTTTCATTTGTCGGGATACGTGAACTCACAAAATTTTAGGTTTCGGAGATCTGAGAATCCCCACAATTTCATTGAGACTCCACTACATTCTCAAAAAATTGGGGTGTGGTTAGCAGTTTCTCGTAGACGAATATATGGACCGATTTTCTTCGATGGCACTATCAATGATGAAAGGTACAGACAAGTGATGTTAGAACCATTCATCAATCAACTTGATGATGAAGAAATTCGAGTTGGCTATTTTCAGCAAGATGGGGCCACTGCCCACACCACACGTGCAAATTTAGAATATTTACAAGAATTTTATGACAACCATGTGATAAGTCGAGGTGTTAATCCTTCTTTTCCAACACGTTCTCCAGATTTGACGCCTTTGGATATTTAAAAGACGAAGTATTCAAGAGAGACAATAATAACCTTGAAGAGCTGCAAGTCTCAATAACACATTGCTGCAAAAATATTGGCCCGGAAATGCTGAGGAATATTTTCGACAACAAACGGCGAAGAGTTTTGAAATGCTTGGAGAACAACGGAGAACATTTTGAACATTTGATGTAGGTTAATGTAATAAACCGTTATTTATTACTTCTTTAATAAATATTCTTGATTTGTTCCATTATTTTTCAAACTCCAATATTGGACTGTCCTTTCTTTGAGATACATTTCCATAGTGTATGCAAAATGATATAAAAAAGATCTTGTATATGATCATTTCCTATCTTTTTGGTCGTTAAATGTTGTTAACAGCATTAGTAGAAAGCGGCAAATGGAGACCCTGTATAATATTGATATAACTCAGCTGTTTAACAACATGAGAGAAATTAATATAAACCTTGATTTTTTTCGTGCTTTTGACACCCTAAAATTTTATAGAGGACATACGTTGATACTGTTGATAGGAACTTTTGCACCTCAAAATGTCTACGAAGTTTGTCGGTCTTATTCCGACTCACCCTCTATACAATGTGGAACGATATGTCATAAATAAATATTCAAATTGCCCACCTGTCAGATTGGTTCCAGCACTCAGTGTAAGGTTACTTTCACATATGTCATCGTTACCACAATCTTTCTGGAATCTTGCTTCGAAAAGTTTCACAGACGTTTTGTTCAGAATCGGTGTGTGATATTTATTATTTTCCAGCGTGTAATTTACTCTGAACTGAAAGTTATAGAATTTTAACTAGATTACATGGGAAAAAACAGATGAAATCTGATTGATGTAACATACAGGTTTTAGGATGTATGACAAATTGACATTCATCATATAGGACGTGGAAAAATTCTGAATTGAGAAAACCTAATCACGAATCTGCGATTGAAGGTATACAGGGTGGGCCACCAGTAACGCCTCGGTCTCTAGAAGGCTAACCACTCATCTTCTTGGAATTCTTCCTCTCTAGGAAGTTGTATGTCAACATAGGCTACCATTTGAAATTATTTTGAAACATACAGGATGTCCCCAAAAATCACAAAACACTGAAGTTGAACTTTTTTCAATCGAACACCCTATATATTATTTCATTTTGAGATTCTCCCTGATGGGCTGATTTCAACGACCCATCATACTTGGAGTCTAGCAGTTATAATTACTGAAATATAGGGTGTGAAAAATCGAGATTTTCCAAGTTCAAGAATTTTTTGTGTCGAAACTATTCATAATTGGTCAAAACGGCTTACATGTCCCTATCTCAACTTTTGACTAAGTATCTACTGATATTTAATTGGGACATATACCGGGTGATCAAGATTCTGAATTCTGCACCACCCTGTATTTGTCTCAATCAAATGTCAGTAGATAGTTGATCTAAAGTTGAGATAGGGACATGTGAGCCGTTTTGACCAATTATGAATGGTTTAGACACAAAAAATTCTTGAACTTGGAAAATCTCGATTTCTCACACCCTATATCTCAGTAACTATAACTGCTAGACCCCAAGTATGATGGATTGTTGAAATCAGCTCACCAGGGAGAATCTCAAAATGAAATAATATATAGGGTGTTCGATTGAAAAAAGTTCAACTTCAGTGTTTTGTGATTTTTGAGGACATCCTGTATGTTTCAAAATAATTTCAAATGGTAGCCTATGTTGACATGCAACTTCCTAGAGAGAAAGAATTCAAAGAAGATAAGTGGTTAGCCTTCTAGAGACCGAGGCGTTACTGGTGGCCCACCCTGTATAAACACCAAACAAACATTTATAAGATAAACGAGTATAATCTTCTCAACACTGAACCTTCGTAATTTTCACTAATCAATCAAAAATCAGTTCATCAAGAAAGAGGGATACATTTCACTACTAAATTCATTGAGAGAAGCTGATGATTATTCATAACCAGTTTTCCTATTTCCTGAGTCTTCACGAACCAGTCCTCATTACTTACTTTTATAGGTGACAATATGTCACTAACTCCCTCTATGATGTTGACCAACTCTTCTTGACAATACCGTTGACTATTACCGGTCACATTGATTATTTTTTTCATATAAGATGAGTGCTTGTTGGGATGAGTACTGTCGACGAACCAAACACGAGAGACGAACCTGTTTTCCTCTGCTACATTATAAATAACCTGAAAATCCTCCGAGTTCCTCGGCTTGCCCACTATCGTGAAACACGACTGGAATGAAAAACTGAAAACAAAAAATGGTGGATTTAGGGAAGACTCGAAGAGATTTTTTTTTTATTCGCTCACCATGTCAAATTGTTCTGGGGTGACGCAATGCAGCCTCTTTTGGTAGCGTTGATATTTTTCAGTTCGTTACTTATGATATCTATTTTGATGTCGATTATGGGTCTCGTTTTGAACAGGAGGACCAGATCGGATTCGAAAGCCCCAACTAGCAAGTCAGGATAGCCGTTGTTGTCCATGTCCATGCCCCCACTCAGGGAATAACCCAAAGTTTTTACTTGTCTCTTCCGGATAACCTAGAAAATTTGATGTATCAGACAATCCAACGACCTGTCTACTGGTACCACTGACATAACTACTATCTAGATAAGCTAAGATCTTTATTTTCCAGTAGACAACACTGTATAGGAATAGTCAAAGTATTCTAAAAACTAAAACTAAGTAGGTACACCATTGACTTATAAATATTTTACAATATAGATAAAATGTGATAATATATTACATAAAAAAGTGAAGATGTAAACTCAAAAACAAAAACGTTTTCAGTTCAATGTCAGTATCTCTTATTTCCGAATTCTGTTATATCCAATCCATTGGTAGACCTCTGATAGCACATTTATCTAACTTCCGCTGTGTCATATCCCAGTAAACCGGACACTTCATCCGAATTGCTCGCCTGAATGCGCAGGAACTTCCAAACTGTCTTTCATGACATCGCGTAGTATTCCTTGGTGCTCGAAAACATAAGTGAGAGTGAGATATATGACTGATCCAAAATGCGCATGTTTCATGTTCTCCAGTTCAATCTCGTGAAAGTAGATAGTAGTTTATATCAGTGACTGGTGCTAGTAGAAGTGAGGGACCTTTTTGGAAGCCCAAATGTGTAATGAGTGATGTGGTTCACTTGAGAGAACTGGCTAACACTTTCAGGTACCATCCATTATCTCTCTCTCACTCTCTCTCTCTCTCTTAGAGGTGTTTCGGCTATGTGTTGTAGGCTAGTGATGTACTTACTACCAGCACCAGCTACCTCCTGAGATCCGTTAGAGCCCGTCTAAGTAGCATAGGCACGCTAACAAACACAAATGAAAACCTAGTAGGCGACTATAATATATCTGCCTCTCAATGGCACTGATTTACTGAAAAATGTCAATAGCTAATGTTTAAATGGGGAACTTCGCTCCAAGTTGTAAACCTAAAAACCTCTACCAATGCATGGAAGGTTGATTGCTCAAGGCTTTATTTTGATGAAATCTGATTGTCAGTCCGAGAGCAAGATGCTCGTCACTCACGGCTCGTTGATCAGGCCGTTCGACGACCTCAAGTAAATGTACACGGCCCCATGTTCGTCCTCGTATTGCCCCCACAGCCACATCGTTGTACCCGTCGTTGTTGATTGTACACATTTATAGAAATCCCAATTCATTAGATATATTAAGCATTCGCGATTCCATTCGTTCGTTTTTCCGTGTTTGGCGTTATGGATTGTAGGCTTACACTTTTCAATGATTCACGAATGAATCGCGGTGTCTATCTAGTGTTCTCTAGGGTCCCTTGATGCAAACTGACGTATTTGTCATCCAACAGGGTACAGACAGATCATAGCTCCTTTCTCTTTTAATCATCTAGTGACTTTGGTTTCGTGTATTGGCGTCTATGACATGACATTGCTGCCACGTCACATTCACAGGCGTTGAATGAGATCTTACAAAATTTTAATTTCATACTTTATCTCAATACGACATTATTCAATTCTGTTTTGGAAGGATGGTAAAATGTGCTGCGTTAGGCTGTATCAATCAGTTGGATGGCAAATTTGAAAGTTTTCCATCAAATGCAAATGAACTTAGAACATGGAAAGTGAAGTGATCGAATGGGGAAAATTGGTAAATACATCAGCAAAATATTCGAGGTAAAACTAATACGAAATCACATATTATACTTTCACATTGTGCCTATATTTATCCACTCCACGAGTTTTTGAATGCATTTTGGTAGAAACAGTTTTGATTGAAACGGAAGATTAAAAGAAGATGCATATGCCCTACCATTTAAAAAATTATACCTTCATTCAGGAAATATTAAGTGTTCGTGAAAAACTGCAAAAATGGTTCCCAACATGAATATATACAGCACACATGACATATGAGCACATTAGTTTGAATACCTACATGAAATTTCTCACCATTTCTCAACCATAAGTTAGTCTGAAATTAATATTCATTTATTGATAGGTACTGCCTATGAAGTCTCATTTGGTAAAACGTATTAAACTTTCAGAAAAATCTGCTCACTGCCTCACAAAGATTATGCTGGAATTTAAAAACAAAAACTCGAAAATCATTATGTTGTTGAATGAGAAATTGCATGTGGAAATTACGTATGATACGCCAATGTCCTCAATATAACCTGAAAAACAACAAATGTCAGAAATCTAGTGTTTATCCCCGAAAATGAATGAAGATGGAACTACACTCACCGGCAAAAAAAACCGGCCACCAAATAATTTAGCCAAATTGTTTTCTCTGTTACTTTTTCAATTCTGGTCCGATTTTGGTGAAATTTCGACCAAATCGTAGATTCATGTTTCCAAATGAAAGCCTGAATATTAGTTCCTAAGAAAATCTGATGAATCGATCATTATACAGGGAAAACGAAAGTTACTTTTTCACCCTTAACTTCTAAACGCCCTGTGGGAAAGGTGAGAAGGTTAACTTAGCTTCATTATGTTTTAGATTGAAGAGTGATCTCTTCTCTCTACGCGATGGTTTTTTATTCACGGCGATAACCACTCTTTAAAGGTAGATACAAGTATTTCAACAGAGTATGGATTTTTAAAATTTTTATTTACAATAATTCAGAACCATTCTCCAACCTTCTGCTTCATCATGTTTTAAATTGAAGTGTGATCCTCTTTTGTTCCTTCTTCATACAACGGTTCTTGAATAACGTCAATATCTTCTTTTTGAGAGAAGATACAAGTGTTTCAAGAAAGTATAGATTTTTTTAAATTTTAAATAACAATAATTCAGAACCTATCTACCTATCTTAGGGGTGACCTCTAGAGGCTCATTCGCCTTCGCCCAGCCTTGTCAGATACTCTTCAAGAGCTACGATTCGCCCTTCAAGGAGTTGAGTAATTTGATCAATTCGATGCCACTGCGGTTGAATGCTGTAATTCAATATCGAGGAGAGCATACTCGTTATTGACAACAGGTCTGCTTCTTGTTTGTTTTTTGTCATTGATTTTCCGGTAAGTGCTAAGAAAGTCAAGTAGGAATATGTGATATTAATCCTTGAAGTTGTCAATCAATAAGTTCATGTAAGTTCTGATTATTGGTTAAAAAAGTTGAAAAACACCATACTTCCTTAAGAGTGGGCAATAGGACTGGAAAAATGAGGAATACAGCGCTCTCGCTCCTGACGCTTTATGGGAAAACAGTTTGGCATATAGTACATTTTTAAACGCCATCATATAGACAAAGGTTCAAATTAGGGCGGATACTATCTCATTTTTCAAAATTCGAAAAAAAAAGTTTCAAAAATGTATTTGAATATAGCATTATTAGCTGACGAAAAAAAAATATTTATACTGCTTGTTCAAGATTTTCAGATAGTATCCGCCCTAGAATGAACCTTCAATATGCTACAAAAAAAAAAAATCAAATCATAATGTGGCTTGGTTTCTTCACAAAGCGTCAGGAGCCAATCCTCTGCAACCTCAAAAATAGGCATAAGTTCACGATGATATTTGCGCCCTCTGGTGAAAGTTATATCAAAAGAACATGGCAGTCGATGTAGCCTTAGTTCGGGTGATTTGATGAAATATAGAAATAATGAAATTTAAAAAAAACCTATATAAATTCATGAAATTTCAAAAATAAACTAGTAGGTATTGATTACTTTGAGAAAAAAATAATGTATTCTTCATACATTTTGAGAAGTATCATCTAATAGTTCGTTCGTCAATTAAGTGAAATCTATTGAATAATCTGATGCGTAATTTCACGCGAGTTCATTGCCTCAAGTGCCCATAATTTCGCTAAACGCAAAAAATCGTCTACAATAATAGAATACGTATAGGTGGTTCCCCGAACGGGTTGTTTTTTACACGGCGTAACATCCTGAGATGCAGGGTGATGCAAGATGCAGGTATACGTTTATGGTCAATGGAATAGAGAGCTTGAGCTTCTGAAATTTCTAGGTTTTACAATTTTGTATTTAGTGCGAGTGTAATATAATAGTGGTAGGTCATTAATGATTGGTGACATTATAAAAATGTTCAACATCCTTTGAATGTTTACGAATCCAGGTAAAATGAATCAATGTTAAATATTTTCGTCATGTCAGTAGTTTGATCCGCTTTATGCAGAAACGTTGAACTTTGTATTTGGTGTGGAAATGTTTTTGTGTTTGTGACTATAAGTATTGAAAATGCCGCCTATATAACCCAGGGCAGGTGATGATTATCGTAAGGGAGAAAAAACAAAATTACATGTGTCGACAAAAAGACGTAGCCGGACGTAGGATATCAAGGGGGAAGAGAAATATCAGTATCGGTCGAATGTTATGTTCATTCTCTTCACCCAGACACCCCTATTTTGGAATTCCAAATGGCACCCCCTACTTCGAGATATATAAAATTCAAAGTCTAGCAATAATAACCAACCAGATGGAAAACTATCTTAGTATTTGATCTATAAATATCGGGACATAATCATTAAATTATAAGTTATATTAGGCCAGTTATTACAGCCAAACATTTTGTCAATTTTCATTGAAGGTATCCTCAGATCAATTTTTGTGGAGTCACATGTGGAAACAATGGTTAATAAAACTCAGCCAGAGAATATGGATGTACTCAAACTGATATATTTCTCGAAAAGTAGACAAATAAATGGGAAAACGTTTCAAAAAATGTTTCAAGAATTCTAGAATAGGCTGTACTATTGAGCATCAAATATTGAAGCATATTTTCGAATAATTGCTTCAAATACCTCTGTCAAAGATCACTCGCTCTCTCTAACTTTTGTTGATCACCAACATGAATCATTGAAATAAATTATTATTCATCTGGTCGGATTGGTTTTTGTTTCCGCCTCAATTTGATGTATCTCAAGTTGCCATTTGGAATTTTATAAAGTAGAGGTGGCGGGGGTTTGAAGGGATGATCATAGCATTCAATAGATACTAGTATTTTATTTCCTCTTCAATATCTGAATCAACCTATTTTTTCCATAATTGTTATCATCGCACATCATAAGGCTAAGTGGTAAGTTTTGAAATCAGAGCTCTGTACTATGAATCGAGGAAATCGCCTATTTTGTAATATTCTCAGCTGAAACTGAATTTCAAAATTTTCTCTTCCAATGAGGAATTGGTGAAATAATCAACAATATTTCAATTTGTGCTAACTTAATCCACATCATAACATTTTTAACAATCAGGCATTTGATGAAATGTTGCCGCATATCATCGAGTTCAACCCGTTTCTATAAAGAGCACCGTACAATGTTCTTGACCTCACACAATATACCTCTCAATTCACAAGTTCTTGCGCTACTGCTGCTGCTGCTGTTTTATATTCCACTTCAGCTGTGCTCAAAGCAACATAGTATCTAATGCTTTTCAAAGAACCAAGATACTGATTATTATCGACGGCTACAACACAAAATTGCTTTCGTTTTACTATGTTTGATATCACAATGACTTCATTTTGTTATTATTTCACAAATTCTCATATCTCATAAAATATAAAATTTCAAGCAATGACATCAACTCTGTCTAATAGATCAGCATCACTAAAGAGTGAGCAATGAGCCGCACAAAAAACAAATTCAGCGCTCTCGCTCTAGACTTCCCATTTCGAAACCATTCAATATTTTCAGAATTTTTTCGATTCATGCTCTAGCCAAAGGATCAAGCTAGGTTGGATACTATCTCATTTTTCGAAGTTTTTTAAGAAAGAGTGCAAAAAACGTTCTCGAAAAGTGCTCAAAATTAGTCAATTTGGCAAATAAAAAAAAATACGTGTACATGAAATAACCAATTTCCAAATAGTATCCAACCTAGATCTATCTGTCAACAAACCACACAAAAAAAGCAGCTCGAAATAGTGATCGATGTCAATACAGGACGTTAAGAGCCGTTGCTCTACATTCCCACAAATACGCACGATTTGGTCGATGATATTTGCGCCTACGTAAATCACCCTGTATAACAGAAAAGTTAACTTTAACTGACGATACAGTTGAAATTCAAGAAAATAATGATTAAAGCCTACTCATAGTATCTGATGAGTCATTTCGTTTGCTTCTTGGTTTTTCGAGATCGGATTTTCAAAAGCAGCGCTATGGCTTGAGGCTTTTAGCAATCATCAACATACAGATTTACTGCAGTAAATCTGTATATTATGTACCCTAATATTGGATAGATATCCTGTTGTCGATACTTCCCATATAACTTTTTGCTGATAGTATACACATTTTCCCGAGATTGGTCATCCAAATTTGAATCTTTCAGAATATTCACCGAAACCATAGACAATTGGAAGTTTGTGAAACCCATCGTGAACCCTCAAATCATCCGATGTTTATTGCATCTCCTCAGCCTGATAGTGTACCCATGATGGATAATATATCTCATGATCTATTTAAGAGAATACAAAAAATCCTAATTTTTCCACACCTCTCGAACAATGAAGAGTGTCGTAAATCTTGATAACATATGTAAACGTAATGGATATAACCAAGGATATAACACAATCAAGGTGTTATCAAGTTAGATTCTATGACCGGATTACCCGATGAATATAGGTAGAATACATTTCGCTAGGAATCTGCTAGGCAGATTATTGGCAATATAAATAAATATTCGGACGCGGTAATCACCCCGACTAATTGGCGAACCGGGTGAGTTGTCCTTTTCTAAAAAGGATGCTTGTTGATTTATGACTGTTTTGTAACCGCCCACTGCTATCTCTTCCTAACCCCCCCGGACCTCAGGTATAGGCGAGTTTTGTCGCGTTTCTCAACCTTAAAACACTCGTATCTTCTTTTAAAAATGAGATATTGACGTGAATCTAAAACTTTTGTGTTAAGAAGGGATCACACTTCAATCCGAAGCATAATGAAGCCATGTTCAATCACGCAATTTTGCCACAGGGCGTTGAGAAGTATAGGGTGAAAGAGTAACTTTGGTTTTTCCCTGTTTAATGATCAAGTCATCAGCTTTTCAGGAAAACTAATATACAGGCTGAAATTCCGGAACATGAATCTACGATTTGATCTTAATTTCACAAAAATCCGACAAGAATTAAACAAGTTATAGTGTGAACAATTTGGGCAAATTTTTTGGTGGCCGGTTTATTTTGCCGGTGAGTGTATACAGTGTGTCCATTTAGTGCGTAATTCTTCGATATCTCGAAAGCCATAACCTATAGAGAAAAACTTTGGAGAAAAAACTTTTTCAGTTACTAAAGTTGCTCATTTCAAAATTATTTTCAACATTACTGGGTGTTTTATGAAAGCAGGGCAACTCGAAGAAGAGTTTTTTTAAATGGAACACCCAGTATTGTTCATTCGGAATTAATTCCGTCGAGGTTCACCTTCACATCGCTGTGAAAAAAATTGAAATTGGTTGCGGCGTTGCCAAGTTACAATTGATAAATCTATTTTCACCATTATTGAAGAGTCATGTTGAATTGGGCATGGTATATTCATTTATTCAGATTTTGAAAATATTTTTGGCATACGGTAGGAGCAAGGACCAACGTATACCAATCCAGTAATTTTGCGACATGTTCTTCAACAGGGTGCTCAATTTTGCATTTAGAATTTAGCAAGATTCAGATGACATTCATCAGAATTTTTCAAATGGAACACCCTGTATTTTTATTCAAAAATTCATTTCGACATCTTTCGCCTTTTTATCGCTGGAAAACAAATCGTAATCGGTTGCGGCGTTGTCAAGTTATGGTTGATTTCCTTATTTTTACTACTATTTCGGGGTAATTTGTACGTCATATAGTTCTTTCATTTATTTGTATTGTGGAAATATTGCGTTGCTACGGTATAATCAAATTTGTTCATTGACCATTCATATATTTTTTTACAAAAGGAACATTTACAGGCTCTCCAAGTTTGAATTTTGTTCGAAATATTTGTGTAATGACCTGTCAAACATCGCTACAATCAAATATATCTTGGATTGATTCGACATTTTGCTGAATTTCCTCCCAAAAGCCGCGTAGTAGAGACATATTGTTTGTATCATTATGTTTACCTTCTTCAAGGTAAATGAAGATTTGGATTGTGAGAATAACGACAATAAAAATGGCTCAAATTTCAAAAAAAATTCCTAATTTTCGTAATCCGCATCTTCATTGTTTGTATTGTAGAAGTTATTTCACAGACAGGCGTTGCTTTTGGCATGTTTGTTTGTTTCACATATCATTTGAATCATAAGTAGCAAGATTACGGAATATTTCAAATTTGGACGATGCACATATCACAACAATACCTGAATGATCTATGTAGAACCCCGAATGTCATGTGGCAAGCAATTGTTCTGAAAAATTGTTCAAAATGCAGTATTCCCACACTCAATAGTAGTAAAAATAAGGAAATTACTCATAACTTGAAAACGCCGCAATCAATTTTGATTTTTTCTTCTGCGATGAAAAGGCGAATGATGTCGAAATGAATCCGTGATGAAAAATACAGGGTGTTCCATTTGAAAATTTCTTATGATCGTCGTCTGAATCTTACAATATTCAGAATGTAAATTTTAGCACCCTGTAGAGGATTATCTCGCAAGATTACTGGATTGGTATACGTGAGACCTTGCTACTACTGTATGCCAAGAATATTTTCGAAATTTCAATAAATAAATATACCATACCCAATTGAACATGACCCTTCAATAGTAGTAAAAATGGGTTTATCAATTATAACTTAACAAAGCCAAAACCAAATTAGATTTTTTTTACAGCGATGTAGAGCTGAACTTGAGCGGAATAAATTTCGAATGAACAATACTGGGTGTTCCATTTGAAAAAACTCGTCTTCGAGTTGCCCCGCTTTTATGAAAGACCCAGTATCGTTGGAAATATTTTCGAAATGAGCAACTTTAGTAACTGAAAAAGTTTTTTCTCCAAAGTTTTTCTCTATAGGTAATGGCTTTCGAGATATCGAAGAATTACGCACTAAATGGACACACTGTATAACTGTTTCACAAACACTTTAGAGTGAGAGGAGAGATCTGTCCGTACCCTGTTAAGATGACTTTAACGTCAATTTCCATCAAGGTACCCTAGTGTTCTCTAGTTCGAGAGCAAGACGCTCGTCACTCACCTGAGACGGTTCGTCGTTCAGCCCGTTCGCCGACCCCAAATAAATGTACACGGCCCCGTGTTCGTCCTCGTACGGCGCCCCCACAGCCACGTCGTTGTACCCGTCCTTGTTGATGTCCCCTAGCAGCGCCATCGAGAAGCCGAAGCGCGATTGCGGTCTGCCGTACAACGCCTGACTGTACGAGCAGTTGCCCGGTTTGCAGTCACGGACGCGATAGTACACGTAGACGGCGCCACCTTTGTTGTCGCCGTAGTAGAACGGGGCGCCGACCAGCAGGTCGTCGTAGCTACAATGAATTTTTTTATTCATTTCCCTACTCACATAATGCAATGAAAACAACAACTGCTTAATGGTATAGTTTATACGAAGTAAGTTGAAAAAGCCCAAAAAAAAATTAACCGGCTGCATGACGGCAAATCCTTTGACAAGCCGCAACACACAGCGGCGGGTAAAATATTTCGAAATAGTTCAGTGGCACAAACTGGATGTTAGACAAGGAAAGATTTATCGGACCTCTCATTAGCATGGCACATTATAATTATAATGTTATAAGAGTACACCTTCGTTTTGCTGCAGTCCCAAATAATTTAAGAGTTTTTAACCAACTAGTCAGCAAAAGACTACCCTTCTGCTTCTCCATACATATATATTTATATATATACATATATATACACACCCATACACATACATACATATACATCCATGATCAAATTTAGAAGATGTAATATACATGTTTTGTTTGGAACTACCTACCCTTATCAATTATACCTATACTAATACAATGAATAGAATGAATACTAATTATATTATAATGAGTGAGTGAGAGAAAGAGAGAGAGGAGAGAAGAGAAGAGAAAGAGAGAGACAAATATTTGCTTATTCGAAAATATTCCTCAACTGATCATAATGATTTGCAATAAATAACTTTATTTCTGATTTCAGTTTCTTATGTGTCTTCTTCTTTATAGAGACAGGTAATTGATTATACAATTTAGGATCAAACTAAGTGACAAATTTTTGATTATGACTCAGCCTACATCGTGGAATATTCATAGCGTGGGTTGAAGCCTAGCGTGTATTATGTGGATAAAAAATTACTTCTATGGGTTTGCCGAGTATCCATAGTAGACACTCATAGGTATAAAGTTTCCTTACTTTAAATTTTTTTCTCAATTCCCGTTCCCTTCGAATTATTTTGTAGGTTAGGATAATCTAATTTTCGGAATTGTGGGATCTTGTCGAAGAAAGGAATTATGAGTTCGTAGAAAAAGTATGTGTGATATGAAATTTGCAATAATCTTTTGGAAATGAGATCATTAACTATGCCAGTCCTCAGTACTACTATTATTGACAACACAAAATCCGCATCTTCGTTTCTTCCTTAGTAAAGTTAAGTAATTCCAGCTACAGGATCTCAGAATTTTCGCCTTATACAACTGTGAAATGCTGGCATGAACTTTGGTGCAATATAATTGAATTACCATGAACCTTTCTGTTACATATATACCAGGTGTCCCATTTTAATCTTTACTTGGAAATTTCTCGAAATGTATGCATCTGACAAAAAAAAATTGCCGAATAAAAATTGTATGGTTTGGAGGGGGACGTCTGGTTGTGAAACAAGTTTCACCCCCTGACCCCCAGGGGAGTGGGAAATGGAGGTAACATTGAAATCTTTAATGGAAACCCCTATTTTTTATTGCAGATTCTGGAAGAGCATTAAAAACTATGAAACTTTTATTCGGGAACTTCTTTTTTATTTTCACAAGATGGCGCTGCGATCGTAAAAAACAATATTTTACTATTTACACATTTCAACCCCCTGAAGACAAGGAAGAGTGTAGGGTGTGATATTTTCCCAGACAAACGCCATTGGGGTGATATTCACACGACAAATTAACGCTAAACGAACTAACTTACCTTGACACCTCTACATAGAAAAGAGAAAAATAAGCATGGTTCAGCAATTAAGGTATCATTTAGGTCAGTCTAAGGCTGGTTCTGAGTGAGATTGACTACTTTATCAAGTGTTCGAAATGCCCTCCATTTTCTTGAATACACAAGTTCACTCGTTTTTCAAAATTCCGCACTGTCGCTTCCAACATAGCAGGCGTTATAGCCATGCACGCTCCTCTAATTCTATCTTTCATATTCTCGCGTGTGGTTGGGGGTTCGCGAAACACAATGTTTTTGATGTAACCCCACAGAAAGAAGTCTGGGGAAGAAGTCAAGTCGGGTGATCTGGGTGGCCAGGGCACGGGTCCCCCACGACCAAGCCACTTTTGCGGGTATCTCTCGTCTAGGAAATTTCGCACAATTCTAGCAAAATGTGGAGGCGCGCCATCTTGCTGGGCTGGAGCGCCATCTTGTTGAAATAAAAAATAGGGGTTTCCATTGAAGATTTCAATGTTACCTCCATTTCCCACTTCCCTGGGGGTCAGGGGGTGAAACTTGTTTTACAACCAGACGTCCCCCTCCAAACTATACAACTTTTATTCGGCAATTTTTTTGTCAGATGCATACATTTCGAGAAGTTTCCAAATAAAGATTAAAATGGGACACCCGGTATATATCGCACAGTAAATCGATCATCTACTCACCCATCATTATTGACATCTGCAGCCAAAACTTCATAACCGAAGCTAGATGCGAACTGTTCTCCAGTTATGTTGAGGGTGACGTTGAATTCTTCGTCGTGGCCATATTTCTTGAATAAGAACACTTCGCCAACCATTTTAGATCGCGGAGCACCCGAAATGAAAGTGTATTCGGATTTATTGAATAAATGGCCACCAGCAACACTCATTCCTGCAACGATTCAAACATTCAGCCGGACCGAGAAACTGTGGCTCCCGCCTGAAATTCTGAGCTTGTTTTTGGAAATAATTGTATACAATTATATATTTTTGAAAAGCCCACTTCATGCGTAATGAATATATGAAATAATATACAGGGTGTTCCACGAGAAAAACTCTATAAGACCAAGTTTCAACTCCTTCGATAAGTTCAAAGATAACTGAGACACGGGGGGCGCCTGAAGTGATTCTTTTCAATTCCACCCTGTATCTCGACAACCGGAAGAGCTATCACAATTCTGCTTGCCTGTCGCGAAAACCGCAATGCTCCATCTTTACTGATAAGGGAGATACCCCGCAAAAGTGTCCAAATTGGGATACCCTGTACAACTAAAAACGCAAATATTCGAATTTCAATCACATACGCGCTAAAACCAATTCAAAAATTTGAAATTCGTAGCCATATTGGTTCAACAAGTTTCGTATTATTTTTTCCCTACGTCGGCATCAACGCCTATTGGTCGATTTCGTTACCTATAGAGACAGAAGTTGGTCCCGCTTTGAGGACAGCTATGCTCCATATAATGGAGTAGTAGATTTTTTTTCAGGCGTTAATAATTAAGTTAAGACAAAACTGAAATGACATCTTCATGGCAACTTCTGATGCTTTTCAATTTGGCATCATCGATTTTCTGATCCAACGATTCGTCTTTGGGTAAAACTAGGGTCCCTTTATGAAAATTGACGTTAAAGTCATCTTAACAGGGTACGGACAGATCCTCGTCTCCTCTCACTCTAAAGTGTTTGTGAAACAGTTATATAGTTCCATCCTTATTCAATTCTGGGGATAAACACTAGATTTTTGACTTTGTTGTTATTTAGGTTATATTGAGGTCACTGGCGTATCATACGTAATTTCCATATGGAATTCCTGATTCAACTATACCAAAATATAGTTGAACAATCCTCTAGTTTTAGAGTTCACTACTCCAGCATAATCTTTGCAAGGTAGGGAACATGTGAATTGTACTACATATTTTTTATTTGTGGTAGAGTAATAATTATACAGAGTGGGCCTTTGAAAACGAAACAGAGGCTTTGTAGGTCGCCAAAACCGGATTATCAAAAAAAAACTGGAACACGTCAACTACATTTTCGAGGGGGACATCTTTCTAAAATATTTTCAGCCCTGCGGCGTTGCCGCTTCTAACGAAAAGAAGCAACAACTTTGTTATTTCAAATGGAACACCTTGTATTTTATTGCATTTTTAGATTCTCCCCGAAGAGCTGATTTTATCAATGCATCACACTTGGGGTCTAGCTGTAATGGTTTCAGGGATATAAAGTGTTCAAAATCGAGATTTTTCCACTTTGACATTTTTTCGTGTCGAAACTCAACTTGTGATTTACTATCTACTGACATTTATTTGAAACAAATACAGGGTGGTTCAAGATTCAGAATTCTGATCACCCTGTATCTGTTCCAATTAAATGTTAGTAGATAGTGAATCACAAGTTGAGATAGGGCCATGGGAGTCGTTTTGACCAATAATGAATAGTTTCGATACAAAAAAAATGTTAAAGTTGAAAAATCTCGATTTTGAACACCTTATATCCCTGAAACCATTACAGCTAGATCCCAAGTGTGATGCATTGATGAAATCAGCTCTTCGGGGAGAATCTATAAATGCAATAAAATACAAGGTGTTCCATTTGAAATAACAAAGTTGTTGCTTCTTTTCGTTAGAAGCGGCAACGCCGCAGGGCTGAAAATATTTTAGAAAGATGTCCCCCTCGAAAATGTAGTTGACGTGTTCCAGTTTTTTTTTGATAATCCGGTTTTGGCGACCTACAGAGCCTCTGTTTCGTTTTCAAAGGCCCACTCTGTATAAACTAATGTATTTCGCCATATTGGATCCGTCATCTTGGATTTTCCAATTTTGACGAAATAATCATCATCTCCTACCCCGAATACCCTTAGATATCAATTTTGAATAGAATCAGAACTTCATTACAAAACTTGTTCGCCATATGATCTTCCTCAACAAGAAAATACCCTGTACACACTATCATTAAAATTTTGAATGATTTTCTGTATCGCCCATGGATGTGAAGTGACAGCAATGTCAGGGATGCCAGTAGACAAAACTAAAGTATCTAGATCGCTATGATCTGTCCGTACCCTGTTAAGATGACTTTAACGTCAATTTTCATCAAGGGACCCTAGGTAAAACCATTATCACTTAATTTTTTTAAATACAGCCCTGATATTTTGATCAAATTCGAATATTCCTTTCCATTCTGATTTCGACGATATGCTACATATTGTGGTTTTTGATGTGTTTCGAGTTTATTTTGGCCATCACCAAGCAGGGGCGTCTGCAGAAATAATCTCAGGGAGGGGCAAGTCACAATAAATAATGTACATTATTCAGAACATATAAAGAAAAACTGTTTTTGCACGACCTATAAGCGATTTTACACCGACAAAAGCGGGAATACAGGGTTTAGCAGAGTAGGCACTCTCTAGACTAAAAAATTTTCCAAGATTTTTCTGGCAATAAATCTACCACTATGTTTGCAGCAACTTTTCAATAGTTTTTCCACAAATTCCCGCAATATTTATCGAAAAAATTTTGGAAAGCAATTAAGAAAATATGCTACCACACTTTTTCGATGTTCACAAAAAGCAATATGGCTACTCTTCTTTATCGGTAGTCATGATAATCAAACTTCATTTTGTGATTATTGTGTTCAGATTTTCATTATCATATTGACAATAATTGATTTTATCATTAATTCCACTGAGTATACGTGAATAGAGAATGATATTTGATGTATATGTACTAAGTTTAGGACATCTTCTCAAAGCACCAATAATGGGAGATACTTTTCCTATGAGGATGTCAATATGCTTTCCCCATGTTAATTTCTCATCAATCCACATACCAAGGTATTTGGTATGGGCAGTTTGTTTCAAACGTTCATTTTTTAGATTCTTTCAAATAAAATCGTCGAGTCGTGCAAAAATGGTAAATAAACCTCGGAAGTGAGTTCTTTCTTCTCTCAGTGCATTGTAGCACCCTTTGGCTACAAAACCACCTCTGGAAAAACCATGCACTTTACTCTCTCGATATATAATTTACAATTATTCTCCATAAAACATGGAATAAAAAGAAAGAATATTAATTGAATTGACTTCACATAGGTATTCTGTTTACAGCCAAAATTATAATAAAATATTGCATGTGATGATAATCATAATCTTGTTCAAACAATAATGACATTGAGCAAATTTATCAATAACTTCGTCGATAAAATTAACTCTTTATATATCTATAAGATGTCGATGAATACTAATTAAACAAAGTCTCAGAACGTCACTATAATAAGCGCTAATCAAAATAGGAATTGAATAATGCAAATGTATCTTGTTTAGAAAGTATCTGATGAGGAAAGACCAGGCGGAGGGGGGGGCGACCCTAAGACCTTGAAAATATATTTTGAAGAATATTGAAAAAAAAAACAGACCGCTTCATAATAATTTTTGTTTTGATATTGATGTGTATTTAGTCACTATTTCAGGATGGCATACCATAGTTGTGTTATCTTACCCAAGTAACTGTATTTATCGATGATATCTATATCTCCGAACGGACTATGATAGATGGTTTTGTCTCTTTTAAGAAAGTCTCCTACGACGATTTGTGCGAAGACTGTCCCCCTCCAAGTGTAAGGCCCTGGGGCCCCCATCACAGCAAAAGTGTCCCCTACAAAAGATGCGCTGGTCCCCACTTGGCAAAAACCGAATTGTTGATGCAACCTGGAATGATGGTTTTAAATGGAATATAAATTACATACACAGCTAACCAACAATCATTCATGTAATAATATATTACGTAATAAGTGTGCATATATATATACAGTATGATGCAAATGTATGGAATAAATTCATTATTTCAGAAATGGGCGACATTTGAAGAAATTCCAAAAACACGTGAGTTTTAATTTTCGGAGCCTCATCTCATGACATTCATATGAGAGATGTTACGTCACTGGTGTTGGAATAATAACGTAATGGACGATTTTTTCAAATACAAACAGAGGTCATGTGACACCTCGTTTGAAAGGTCTACTGATCGTCTATCCAACAGTCAAAATTTTGCATAAGAAGATTGAAATTGAAATGAATCATCATTTGATTAACTGAATCTTGCAGAGGTCTCCTACTGAGAATTGAACATCGAAGGGTCGTCTAGTTAAAAAAATGCATCAATAAAAAAAGTTGAAAACTCTTTTTTTTCGAAATTCGTCTTGGTCTAAAATGAATTTATTCCATACATTTGCATCATACTGTATATATATATACAGGGTGTCTGTAAAAGGTCTTTACAAAAACATACCACATATTCCTTAGACCAAAATAAGTCGATTTAAGTAAAATTACCTCAGTACAAAGTTGCATCGTTTGGGCTCCAGAGGGCCTTGAAGTTACAATTTTTAAATCGTTTTTCCCATATAAATTTAAAACGGCATATGCGATTTTGCTGAAATTTGGTATATTGATAGAGTTTTATGTGGCAAAAAAAATGGTGTCAAAATTTTGTCCGATAATAATACATAGGCGTAGAACTTGATTTTTTAAATAATTGCACCTTTAAAAATTCTACGCCAATGGAAGAAAAGGAGTTTGAGTATGAAATTTAGATTGCGCAACTCATTTACTTCAAAAAAGGTACTCGTGATATGACTCGATTGCTCTCATGGTTTTGACGAAATTTGCATTTAAGTAATTTTAGAACATAAACAATAATTATTAGAATACAAACTTTGTCAGAACCATGAGAGTAAACCGAGGGTACTTTTTTGTAGTAAATGAGTACCCATTCCAAATTTCATACTCAAACCCCTTTTCTGCCATTGGCGTAGAAATTTTAAAGGTGCAATTATTTAAAAAATCAAGTTCAATTTTGACGAAACAATCTCTATCTCCTACCCCGAAAACCCCCAGATACAAATTTTGAATAGAATCGGATCTTCATTACAAAACTCGTCCACCATATTAGATCCGCCATCTTGAATATCCCAAATTTGACGAAATAATTATAATCTCCGACCCCGGAAATCCCCAGATACCAATTTTGATTTTTTGAATAGAACCAGATCATAATTACAAGTTTCGTTCGCCATATTGGATCCGCTATCTTGAATTCTCCAATTTTGACAAAAAATCATGAAGTTCGACCCCAAAAACCACCAGATACCAATCTTGAATAGAATCAGATCATAATTAGAGATTTCTTTTGCTATATATTGGATCCGTCATCTTGAATTCTACAAGTTTGACGAAACAATCATTATCTCCAACTCCGGAAAACCCCACATACCTTCCAATTATGAATAGAATCGGATCATAATTACAAAACTCGTTCGCCATATATATATATTGGATCTTTCTTTTATTTTATTCAGACCAGGGAAGAGTCCCTCTTATCCTGATATCTATTATGGAACAAAATAAAAACGGTATTGAAGTTTGATGCGAACAGCCCTTCTGCCCCAAATAAGTTTCAGAAATACATTCTAAGAATTGAAAGAGATCGAACGGAAAAAATAAATATCAAAAACTTGAGGATAGTAAATTTGGTCATAATGTCGATATTTTCTCTAGTTTATGGACAATCTCGGTCTTTTGAACTTTGATTGATCACCTGGGTCATAATCAACTGCATTTCGAAGAAGCTGATTCTCATGAACCTCAGCTTTTTCGAAAGTCTTGATGTTTCGTTCTTTAATGACTGACACGATTGAAGGGAGTTTCAGATCCCTGGCGATCTGGTTATTCCGAACATACCAAGGAGATCCTGTCACCATTCTCGCGACTTTGTTTTGTAATGTTTGTAATCTGGTGATATGAGATTTAGCTGTGTGGCCCCAGACTACTGAGGCATACAGTAAAATTGGCCTGATAGCCATGATATAAATATTCAATTTTTGTCTCAAACCCAATTTACTTCGCCTGTTTAGAAATGGATACAGGGCTCCAATGGCTCGTTTAGCTTTAGAAACTTGCTGTTCAATGTGCTGGGCCCAGGTGAGCTTTGTCAATGCACACACCTAGGTATTTAACTTGTGAAGACCACTCTAACTCATGACCATCCAGGACTATTCTGGTTCTGGGAGGCCTCCGCTCCCTTCCGAGTGCGACCAATTGTGTTTTTGTAGGATTCAATTTGATCTTCCATCTTAGGAAGTACTCCTGAAGAGAATTCAGTGCGCTTTGGAGGTTCATAGCTGCTTGCTCTAAATTTGTCGAATATGCAAGAACTGCCGTATCATCAGCAAAAAGCGACATCTTGCACATCACTGGTCTTGGCAAATCGCTAGTATATAAACTGTACAACAGCGGAGATAAAACTGCACCCTGAGGAACACCAGCTTCAATGGGCTTGATACCAGATCGTTGATCATCAAGTCTTACTTGAAAAGTTCGATTTTTAAGAAATGAACACATCAACTGAATCAAATCGTCAGGAAAGTCCATATCGATCATTTTGTATAAGATACCATCATGCCACACCTTGTCAAATGCTTTCGCTATGTCAAGGAGAGCAAGATGGGTCTTTTGTCTATCATTAGACAAAACTAAAATCTCTAGATCATTAAAAAAGAATGCAGCTATGATCTGTCCGTACCTAGAGTCACTGGATGTTATTAGTTTGATAAGAGTTCGGACACAGAAATGACAACGGTTAGGGTTTTTGAATGTTTAAATTTATGAAGTTACACACCTTGCATTGTGACAAGAGCACCATAGACGTCCCGCGCTTTTTCCATCAAAATTTTTTGAATTTGACAATTCATTTTATAAACGTCAGAATTGAAATAAAATTTTGTAATTATTATAGTACTTTCGAGATAAAAGCAGCTATGGAAATCACTTGATGTGTAATAAATTGTGCCAATTTTGGAACAAATGGATATCATTTATTCGATTTTCCAAATCAAATATCAAGCATTCGCTTATGGAAGGAAGATATGAAACGGCCTGGGTGGAGAAGCAATTTGAAGACTAGCGAAATTTGTGAGGTACTCATTGAAATTCATTTCTTATAACAGCATCTGATTAGAATGATTCTATATTTCAGGCCCATTTTCAAACTGACGATTTCATAATCTGTTTGAGAGAATCTGCTGTTTCATCAATTTACAAAGCAGACGATTTCAAGAACAAAATTCCATTATTATCATCACACAAAATACAAAACGAAATAATCATGGAAAAAGGGGAAATGATCGCAAAATTACATTATGGAATTGAAAATTTGAAAACGAAACTAAGAAAAGCAAGTAAACTACAACGTGATATATTATAGAATGGCGTTTCGGTGCTGACCAAATTCAAAATTCAACAGTGAAAAGTGAATAGATTTTTATGTATCAAGGGAATTATTATAAGGGCCTTAATTACGCTGGAGGTTATCGTTTTGGAGATATTTTCTATATCGATCCATGTTACTTAGCTCCTAGGGCGCTAAGTGAAGTTGCTGAGAACTTTACAAAACCAAGTATTTGGCAGGTCTCGTCAAAATAAATTACTTTCTTCCCATGAAATCTTTATCGAAAAATGTTTTGTTCTCTGTATTTCAACACCCTGTATCTCCGAAATGAAGCATTTCCGGACACAAGCTTATATAGACTTTATTTCTCAAAATTGTCTCAGGAATAATACTTCACTGGAGTACAGTTTCACATACAATAAGGAATTATAGCTATAAGTTTATCCATATGTATATATTCTCTGATATTAAAATGTTGTTACATGCATTTTTTTCATTTATATAATAGTTGCTCTGCTAGAAGTGTATCACTATGAGTTGAAGTGGGTGTTTGTACCCTATATCCATTGTCCATCTTCGGCTATGATTGATTTGACAGAAGATATAACCTCTAAAATCGTTTCTGACAATCAGGCGCTACTAGGGAAATTGAAAAGACAAAGAGCAGAATATATGTCTTATTCTTTTATTCACTTAAACCATTGTATTATAGAAAATAGAAAAGGATAAAAGTTCAGCTGTGTCCGAACTCTTATCAAACTAATACCATCCAGTGACTCTATCCGTACCCTGTTAAGATGACTTTAAAGTCAGTTTCCATCAAGGGACCCTAGTTTTAAGACAGGTTAATAAATTAGTGATCAAGATAGGTTGATTGCTTATCAGAGACCACCTCGTTTACAGAAACATGTGTATGACTCACTTTTCCATAGGCCGTCCGTTGCAAGGTTGCACGCTTTCATAGATGTCCAGTTGGCTGTTGAGCAGGTAGCACAATCCTTTGCCGTAGTGGAACTTGCGCAGGTCCGGGCTCTGGATGTATCTGTGGGCGCACACCAAGACGATCCCGCCGGGTTTCTGCGATCTGACGGTCACGCCGAGCCATTGGCCGTCCTTGATTTCGTCGGGTCCGGGCGCCTTCAGGCCTTCATCGGCCTCGGTCTCGTCGTCGTAAAGGAACTCTTCGACTGCGAGAGAAAACGGTGGGGATAGTGAACCGGGGGATTGGTCAATGTTTTCGTTTCATTTTTCAAAGGGTTCACCGCGGAGGAATGGGGAAGTTTCCTATACAAGGTGTTTCACAGATGGAGGGAAATATTTCAATGGTACATAGGGGTCACCAAGGTGGTTCTGAAAATACCATATTTGATAGGTCTTAGAGTCTTCATAACGGAGATACAGGGCGATTCATCGATTTCGAATAATTATTCATTCATCTATAAGTATTGAACTACCCAGTATATTTTTCTAAAATTTGGTTATACTTGGGACGTTGAAGTCATTCACCTATCGGGCGAAGTGATAATCCAGGTTCGGCTTCAGGAAAATTTTACATTTATTCGAAATATTGAAATAACACACTGTATGTGATTATTGACAGAGTTCATCAAAGGAATCGTAAAGAGGAGGAAAAACTGAACTGGATTTGATACTTTTTGTTTTCCCGCCACCAATTCTCATCGGAACAATCATAAACAGAAAGCTAAAAGTATGTCAATTTGAAGAGTATTATGATTATGAAACCACTCAGTCTCTATAACAGAGATACAGGGTGAATTATCGGTTTCGAATAATTATTCACTCGTCCATAAGTATTATCGCAGTAATATTTTCTCAAATTTGGTATTGAGCTTACTTGGGACGATGGATTCATTGACCTATCAGGCAGAATGGAAATACAGGTTCAGCTTCAGGAAAAGTCTCATAGTTATTATAACAGAGATACAGGGTGAATTATCGAGTTATAGTTATTTGTTATTATTTCCATACCGCCTGATAGGTTAATGAATCCATCGTCCCAAGTAAGCTACATAATGTTACTGGGTAGTTTAATACTTATGGACGAGTGAATGATTATTCAAAACCGATAATTCACCCTGTATCTCCGTTATAAAGACTGTGAGACTTAGTAAGTTCTTTCGGTCGATTTTTTGACTAAAATATATCGGATAATCATAATTGACACTGGTTTCATAATTTCAATACTCTTCAAATTGACATACTTTCAACTTTCTGTTTATGATTGTTACGATGAGAATTGGTGGCGGGAAAACGAAAAGCATCAAACCCAATTCAGTTTTTCCTCCTCTTCACAATTCTTTTGCTGTACTGTGTTAATTATTAAATACAGTGTGTTATTTTAATATTTCGAATAAATGTGAATTTTTCCTGGAGCCGAACCTGGATTTTCACTCCGCCCGATAGGTGAATGAATTCAACGTCCCAAGTATAAGTTCCTTACCAAATTTGAGAAAAATATACTGGGTTGGTCAATACATATAGACGAATGAATAATTATTCGAAATCGATAAATCGCCCTGTATCTCCGTCATAAAGACTTTGAGACCTATCAAATATGGTATTTTCAGAACCACCTTGGCGACCCCTATCTACCATTGAAATATTTCCCTTTACCTGTGAAACACCCTGTAGATTGAGGTTTTTATCTCACTGTGAAGTTTGTAAAAAATTAATATACAGGGTGTTCCTTAAAGACATGCTGGTATTTGTTAAGGTGATTCTCTGACTCATTTTAAGAAGATAACTTTATATGAACGTATGTCCTAAAAGTCTTAATTTGTGAGGTACAGGGTGACTAAGTTTTGAAAAATATTCAGTTTTTTGAAGATAATTAAGACAATATTGTATACATCTTTTTGAAATTTGGTACACGTCTTTTATGTATCAAGGTGCATGTTTTTGATGTACAAAAATTTTCATTTTCTCTACCAGTGGCACCGTTACGGCATAATTATTGTTTATATTTTACTTACAAGTGAGCAACGATGAAAAATTTTCAAATTACATACAATGCTATAAAAGGCTATTCAATTATGTACAAAAAAGATCCACTTGTTGATACTCGATAGAACGCTTCGTTTTCGAGAAATAACGAAAAATCGAGACCAGACTTCAAATTTTGATGTTTGAGTACTCCATTCAGGACATCCATTACTGGATAACCACCGTATATTACATTTTGAAATTTGTATGCCGATTCAGTCACACAGCAGACTGAATTTTGCCATCACGAAAAGCTATACAGGGTGGATAAAAAAATAATCTATGCATATTTTCAACATTGACACCCTGTATCTCAAAAGTTAGGACGTTCACGACATACAGTCGTATTCAATAAAAAAGCGTACAAGTATTGAAAAGAGAGGATTTCGGGATCCTAGTTCTAGTTGAGTGAAACTGGCTCAGCCAATGCTTTGTGTTTTCGAGAACCTATGACAACATTACTGTCAACATTTGGTGAACAATCATTCCCGATAGCCCGTTTTATACAGAATAGGATGACGTAAATTTCTTGCTGTAATACAGGGTGATCCACGGTTGATGGCCTATTAGAAGTATCTGGAGAACTAAAAGACAGAACATTCTGAAAATTGGGATGTTTTGATAATTGAACATTCTCTATCCGTCTAAAATATTTTCATCGATACAGTGTTGCCACTTCTATTAGAAACAACTAGCAACTTTGTTATTCCCAATAGAACACCCTGTACTTTATTGCATTTTTAGATTATTCCTGAAGAGCTGATTTCATCAATATATCACACTTGGGGTCTAGCAAGAATGATTACAGAGATATAGGGTGTTCAAAATCGAGATTTTTCAATGTTAGGATTTTTTTGTGTCGAAATTATTCATTATCGATCAAAACGGTTTACTTGTCCCTATCTTAACTTTCGATTCACTATCTACTGACATTTAATTGGAACAATCAGCTCTTCAGGAATAATCTAAAAATGCAATAAAGTACAGGGTGTTCTATTGGGAATAACAAAGTTGCTAGTTGTTTCTAATAGAAGTGGCAACACTGTATCGATGAAAATATTTCAGACGGATAGAGAATGCTCAATTATTAAAGGATCCCAATTTTCAGAATGTTCTGTCTTTTCGTTCTCCAGATACTTCTAATAGGCCATCCACCGTGGATCACCCTGTATACTTGTACGCTATTTTTTTGAATGCGACTGTACATTCATATGAAGTTTCATTCTTAAAATGGGTCGAAGAATGCGCCCCTTGAATATTAGCATATCATTAAGATCAAATTTCTCTTCAGAAAGAAATAAATAAGAGAAACTTGGCTCCTCCACCATTCCTGTGACTTACTTTCCGAAAATCCACATTCACACAGAGTTTAAATACGATTCCCTGTGCAAGTACGACGTTGCCGACATCATCAATATGTCTAGATTTCCGGAAATTGTTCTTTGAATGCATAATAACTATATCATAACAGCAATGGGATATAATAGGTTCGTTCTCTAATCCTACTTTGTCAAGTATTATGAATAATTCCCATAAATCTCTCATTGGCTGAATGAAGTTGATTACTAATTAAGATTATTTTTTGCGATAGTATCTTTAATTGTTCACTATCGTTATATTACAATATGTTATTCATAACTTGTCAGTCATTTTTTTGCTAATGAATTCGTTCCGTAATAAAACGAATCTATTCGGATCGATGGCAGTAAACAAAACCATAACCTGTCAGAATGAAGCCAACTACCTTCTGCATTCCTGCTCCGAGTTCATTTGTGGTTATGTTTGTTTTTGTTTACCAGTTTTACTTCTTCATCTATTTTTTTCATTCGTTAGCTATTCGTTAGCTATTCGCTAGCTATATTCTTCACCATCAGCTATTTTCAGATTCAGAATGTACAGTCGTATTCAATAAAAAGGCGTACAAGTATTAAACATAGAAGATTTCGGCATCCTAGTTCTAGTTGTCTAAAACTGGCTCAGCCAATGCTTTGTGTTTTTTCTCTCTCAAATATAACTTGTACGCTTTTTTATTGAATACGACTGTACGTCACAGTTTGCCGCCCCGAAAATTAGAAATTGCTTTAATTTGAAAATGAAAACGACTTGGACTTTTTCGGTCGCCATTTTGTACAGCATGGACATAGAACTGGACAGAACCGAACTTATGAAAATTCATCTGAAGGAAACTTCCCCATTATTCGTATACTTTGTATACAAATGATGAGAAACTCAAGGAACTTCGAGGAATTTTGGAGTCGCCAGGAATTTCGTCGAGTTTTCAAATAGAAATATTGCATTCTTTTGTTGGAAAATGGCGGGAAAATTAAGTAATTTTGAGGAATTTTGGTGAATCTCTAGGAATTCCGAGGAATTTTCACAGAGGCATTTTTTTCGTTCATTTTGTGGAAAATGAAGGGAAATCGCCCATTTTGGAAAAACAACTCGTAACTCTGGAACGATGATAGATTTCGATATACGGTTTCCACTAATGAGAATTGACCAACAGGCATCGTCATATTCAACCATTTTCGCAAGTAATAAAATAAATACAGGGTGTTCCATTTAAAAAATACCAGTTTATGTGAAATTTCTCGGTTTAGGATGCTTTTTTGCATTTTCTGTACTGAATTCTGAATGGCTATTAAAAATACTTAATTTTTGCATATTTGGAGGTGTCTGTAAGACCAATATTAACTGAGATAGCTATTGTGAAATCCATAAACAATCACCCTGTAAAGGTTAGTTTTTTTTTCAAATTTCATTAGCTAGCTTAGACAGGATGTGTTATTGATATTGAAATGATCGATTGCACTTACACTTTGATGATATTGAAAATTGAAATAAACCATGCGGCACTACAAACGGGAGGTCAAAGTGCAGATTGTAAAATTATTTTACACCATTTTTGCGGTGCAAATTTCACAACATAGTCGTTTGTTGTTTTAATTTGCACCCTCTATATTTCGACACATATTCGAAATTGTCCTTCATCAGGAATAATGAATCCATATACAGTGTGTCCCACTTACCATGCTCACCATGGGTATCTTTTTAACGGTGAGAGATACGAGGTCGGTTAAATGACACCAAATGTGGAGTTTGCCAAGGCCAACTATAATGTGAAAAAATATTTTGATAAAATCTATTCGTTTTTGTTTTATACGCAAAAAACAGATTTTGATCA